GACTGAAGGATTTGAAGATCTCTACAGGTGTTTAAATACAGAACTGTAATACCACTATAAGTTCCCAAGTAAATTACTTTCCAAAGTATTTGAAAGAGACAATTCTTCACAGCAACATGGAATACTTCGTTTTAATCAAGACAGTGGTGAGACTAAGGTTTGTGAGTTTGTTGATTAATGTGAATGCTCCAGTTATGCTATAATTCTCATTTTACATACATATACACACTCAGTGTATTACTGTACTGGTGGAGCATTTCATTGAGCTAAGCCATGACCTTTTCTTCCTTTGAAGTATTTCAAATTAAGAACTGTTCAGAAATATGACTAATGACTACCATGACTAACTCCAAAAAGGTGCCCGTTTCTCTTCTGTGATCAAAGTTAAGCATGTCATGAATAAACATTTTTTTCCCTACAGCATCAAGTATAAGTAACAGCAATGTACAGGCTAATTTTTTTAGCACTGAAGTCTGAGAGTTTGATGTGGTAAGATTTCTTTGCAATTTCTAAAAGTCCTATCACTCAAAGTTTCTTAAATAATGATATGGCAAATCTTCATCATGGAATAGCATCATTATTAATGTGAAAGAAAAAAGCTAAAATGCTGCAAGGAAGGAATGGAGAGAGGGAGGTTTGCACATGCATTTTCTTTGATGCAGACAAATGAGTAGTTATAACGTTTACCATGTGGTAAATGAAGAGACAATGTGAAATTTGATAGAAGAATGCTAAGAGCAAACAAGCAGGCCTGAATGCATGAAATGCACACACAAACACAAGGCTAATGAGGCAGTGTGGCTTTAAGTTTTGAATGCAACTGAAGATACCATCTAACAGTGCAGGCACTAGAGACGAAAGGGGGAAAAAAAGAGCAGGAATGGTCCAGCTTGTGAGGAAACAGATGCAGCCACAGACGTTCTGAATAAGAAAAGGCCAACTTGTCTTGCCACATGTGGGTGTTGAGACAGATGCAAAGGGCTTGCCCTCCAAATTCTTTTTGGATTAGTTTTTGGACCCATGTCGTTATTCACTGCAACAACAGCAATAACGCAAAGGTTCATTCCAAGGCTCAAAGTAATTTCTCCTGGACAAACATAAATAGCTACTGCTGGAACTGCAAGAGATTTTAGACAATTCAGAAGTCCAGGCCCCACGTAGAAGCTGTGTTGTAAACATCATGGAACGAGTTATAGAGATCACTATTATTGGCTCATTGGCCTCAATGGCTGACTATTTTTCTGAAAGATTAATCCACAACGAAGTTTAAATCTTTGCCCAGTGCTGTCTCTGCTTTTCTATTATTTACAAAAGCGTAGATCCCTTTTATACCATTTAACTCTACACAACATGAGAAATGCTGGATCTGATTTAGCATTCACAGTATCAGCCATATCTAAGTACCCACTTGAATCCTATTTGCTGCATGCCTGTGGCTATTAGTTGCACACCGTGTCACACTGCTACACCTTCAAGTCAGATGCCAAAGACTTAGTGAGGCTTGTGTTAGGTACATACAGAGCCCTGCAAAGAACTAAGTATTAAAGGGAAATATTTTGTGTAGATATTTATGTATGTATATATATATATATATATACACACACACACACACACAAAATATAGAACTTGCCTGTATATTTCTGTGTGTATATGTATATATATATATATATATATATATATATTTACAACCTTAAAGGTATATTTCTATAGAATAAAACAAAATAACCACATAAACATCTATACTGGCTACTGTTAAGTGAAAAGATACGTGGGGAAAAAAGTACTCTGTCATATTATGAACCTTATTTTCATTCTGCTCTTCATATCCAAGTATAGGACTAAATATAAAACTAAAATAACAGAAAAAAGAAACTATATTTATACTTAAAGGTATTCTCTTGCAAAAATAGAAATTTTTCCAAAACAAACAAATACATAAACAACATCTAACTACTCTAATTGCTATTGCCTACATAGGCAATAAGGGAAAGGGGAGAATGGGAGATTTGTCATACACTGATCCTCGATTTTATTTAGGTACCTATTTATCCATGCAAAGGATTAGGTACCAATCAATAAGATAAAAATATTCATATACAATTTTAAAAAGCATATATCCTATCCTTTTCCCCTTAAATACTACCCACACAAATATTCCCTCCCACCTCCCACACATAAGAAAAAACCCCAGTTATAAAATTATTGCCACTTCAGGCAATGAGGGAAGGGGAAAGAGGAGAATTATCATACGTCTGGACCTCTGTATTTCATTATGTATCTACAAGTCCCAGTAAAAGACTGAGCACTACATAAAATAACACACAGAATGTAGTAAATATTTACATACATTAAAATCCCCCTAAACAGATAAACAAACAAATAGACAGACACACAAATATCTACTCTACCATTGCCTACCAGGCAATGAGGGCGAGGGAGTATGGGAGAATTTTCATAGAGTCAATCTCAGCATTCATTAAGTATCTAGTCATGCAAAGGACCAGATTCAAAATAAATTTCATGCCAAAAAATGGCAAAAATATTTACATATTTAAAATATATACATATTTAGTCTTTTCTCTATTAAGCCTACTCCCTTAAAAAAAAAAAAAAGAAAACCAAAACAACCAAGAAATAAACTAGCCCCACCGGGTGTATACACCATTGCCTATGTATAAAGGCAACAGACAAAAGACAGTCCATGCCTCTTTATAGGCCAATATTACATTTGATACTTAAAAGTCTGCACAGAAAATCAGGTTGAGAATGAAAGAATGAAAAAACTGGCAAACATTTATATACAGTTTAGAAAGTACAAATGCATCCTCACTCTTGACAAAGAAACTTGAGCAACTACTTTACTAGCCATTGCCCTGATAGGCAATAAGGGAAAGGGACAGGGGAGATATTTTCATAGAATGAACCTCAATTTTCCTATGTACTTAGTGTCCACAGGTACAAAATAGAGTAACAGAAAAAAAGCAGCAAACCCTCTTATATACGGATTTAAAAGTCTAGTCTAATATAACCCAACCATCTAGGAGGGTAAACAAACAAACAAAAAACTATGCTACAACTATTGACAAGGAAAAAGAGGGGATTTTCATACATCTGGACTTCCACATTGAATTCATTAGGTACCTATATATCCATGCAAAGGATTCTGTACAAAATGAAATAACATAGTACAGTAATGAAAACTATATACATTAAAAAAACCATATATCTTACCCTTAGTCTACTCACACCCTTCAAAAAACTTAAAAAAGACCCAAACAACCTGAAAATTATTGCCTAGAAGAGATTATTACACATTCAGAGCTGCAGGATTCATCAGGAACCCATCAAAGTGAAGGACTGGAACCTAATGAAATACTGTAATAAAGTAAAAGCATGTACATACATTAAAAATTACATACCCTAAGCCCTGAGAAGCCTCAAACAAATCAATTACTCTACTAATTACCACACCACTATTCCACAACAGGGAGAAGGAAGAAATTTGTTGATAAGACAGATAAGCAAATTAGACAAAAAAAAGCAGCAAAATGTTTACTTGTATTTTATAATTACATATCCTTATTTTGAAACCACTTTCTTTTATATAACAAAAACAAAAGAAAACAAAACAACACAACAACAAATCCAAGTTTCAAAAACAATTCCAACTACCATGATCATGTTGCCTATCCGGACAATAAGGGCAATAAAGAGAGGAGATTGTTATATATGTGGAACTCAGTTGGTATTGTCCAATTTGGGCACCCAATGAATTGCATACAGTATGTAGGAGCATATACTAAGTACACCTCCCTTCCTACACTCTCCAAACATCTCACTCCCACAACTATTCTATTACTATAGTCCTACAGACAGTAAGGGAGAAGAGGCAATGTTTATACATTCATTAGGTATGCTTATGCCCACAAGAACATGGTATGAAATAAATTTAGTAAGACAATATAGTAGCAGGTATATTTATAAATATCCTCCCCACTCTTTCCCCTATCCCCAAACAATGTTATTAATTATCTATTGTCTAAAGCAATAAAGGAAAGAGGAGACCCGCTATACTTTGAACCTTAATTTTCATTAAGCATATATGCACTCATGCAAAGGAACAAGTACAAAATGAAATAGTAAAAAAATCTATATACACTTGAGTGACAGACCACTTCGGTCTCTAAGAGTAGCCCAAAGCAACAGCCACTATGACTAGTCTTAGCTATTGTCTGTCCATGCATGCAATACGGAGACAGGTAAATGGGACAATGCCACACTTCTGGAACTTCATGGGTTATCTACATGTCCACAAGAAGCATGAGCAAAATGCAGAACAAAGTAACACTCACAAAATAGCAGCAAAAACATTTCTACACACCTTTAAAACAAACTACTTCGCTTTCCTAACACTACTTTAAACAACAAACAACCAAAAAAGAAACCAAATAAGTACTCTAGCTTTTGCCCATAATACACAATAATGGGAAAGTGGTTTCCTGGGGTAATACTTAACTCTTCACCAGGATAAAAGATATAAAGTGAAAGAATATAAAAATATATAGAATACATATGTACATTTGAAAAATATATATCCGTTCCCCCCTCATAAATGAACAAATCACTCAACTATTATACTGGCTGTTGCCCAGTCAGGCAATACTGGAAGGGGAGAAGAGGAGATTTATCATACTCTTGGACCTCCAGTTTTCATTTGGTAGTTAACTGCCAATGCAGAGAGTGAAACACAAAATAAAAGAACAAAAAACTAGCCAGGTGCTTGGTGGCTTTCACCTGTAATCCTAGCTACTCAGGAGGCTGAGATCTGAGGATTACAGCTCAAAGCCAACTGGGGCAGAAAGTCCATGAAACTCTTATCTCCAATTAACTACCCCCAAACAGGATGTAGAGCTATGGCTCAAATGGTTGTGTTCACCATGAGCAAAAGAGCTCAGGACCCATACCCAAATCTGAGTTCAAGCCCCCTGACTGGAAAAAAAAGCAAACCTAAAACCAGTAAATATATATATATATATATATATATATATATATACCTTAGATTAAAAAAAATACAAGTGGGTTAGGGGAAAGAAAGCTTTTTAAAAGGAGAGTTAATTTCAATTAAAAACATCAATGAAGGCAAAGGTGAAAAGAGCTACATCATACCTATGACATCAATTCTCACCTAAGTAGTAAAATCCAGGTTTTGAACTTGGCCAAGGAATGGCTGCTCTTGGAGATGGCAGCACTGAGCTGCATGGAAGCATGCTCACAGGCTCATGGAACGTGTGGGACTATTTAAGTGTTCAGCAATCTGAATGTAGATCATGGGGCCAGAGTTCCAGATGCTTTAATTTGAAGACTATCTTAAGACGAATTCAATAACAGACTATCAGCAGTCCAATAAATTCTTAATTTCTTCTTAACACTATGAATAAATTGTTTGGTACCAATAATTCGAATGCAGCTTGATTTGCTTCTGTATACCCAGTACTGAACAGCTCTTCTGTTCCTACAGTAGCTAAAACCCATAAAGTAAAAACACAAATGGCAAAGAAAATTAGAGTCAAACCTATGATTAGTGACGTTTGTGAATCTCAAAGAAAGAGCAAACACATTTTAAAGAGACAAGTAGACAAACAAAGAAAGGTATAGCTCATGGTAGAAGTTGCCACTACTTGAAGTTTAACATATCTCATCACTTCATATTAACATACCCATTAGTTCATATTAACTACTACCTTTATAGGTTTCCAGACTTTCCATCCACAAATATGGATTTCCAATTCTATCTTTCCTAATAATTTGGTATGATATATCTATTACATGACATTCAAGCAGACTATCTCTGCAATGAACAGGATGATTATTCAGTGGGTACCCAGCTGTGTCAGGCATCTATGTGCTCAACTTCTGTGCTTTAGTCTGAGTAGAAACATAATGCATAGAATAAAATTTACTTATTATACTGTAGATTATACCTCTGATTCATTACTAAGAGGTCCCATTATAAATGGATTAACATAACATAAAAATATGAAATTCTGTGGGGAAATGAAATGAGGTCTATCAAAACTAAAAGTAATTGAGGTGAAAGTTATAATTAAAACATGGGAATGTAGAGCCTTTGAGTATGTAGACAGTAATAGATCATAAGTTACCTCTTTTTGCCCATTTTTGTACGGTGTTACTTATTTTTTCTTTTTGTTAGTCGTAGGGCTTGAACTCTGGGCCTGGGCACTGTCCCTCAGCTCTTCAGCTCAAGGCTAGTGTTCTACCACTTGAGCCACAGTTCCACTTCTGGGCTTCTGGTGGTTAATTGGAGATAAGAGTTTCACGGACTACTTTCCTGCCCAGGCTGGCTTTGAACCACGATCCTCAGATCTCAGCCTCCTGAGTAGCTATGATTACAGGCATAAGCCACTGGTGGCGCCCAGCTAGGTTTTACTTTTAATAACATGCCACACCGCACACATCCATACATACACACAAGCACATATTTTAACAGAAAAATTATATTATTTAAGATTAAGATTTGCCATATGCAAAGTTAACACATTTTCAAAGTAATGTTGAGATGGGCTGTAAAACTGAAGGTTCTTAACTAACTTTGAGAAGTAGCAAAATTTAAACTGTATCAAAGTGGAATTTAGAAATATAAAAAACTAGCAACAAAAATCTCCTAAACTTCTTACTCAAAGTTAGTACTTTTCCTTCACATTGAAAATACAAGGCCTCACTAACTTTCAGTATTAACTAAATTATCATCATTTACCAAAACACAAGAAAGATAAAGATCTAAAATCATCTCAGTTTGTATAACACATTTTTTGATGGATCTGTGATTCTCAGGATACAATATATTCCACTTAAAAACAGAGAGATAAATATTTAGAAAAGACTAACTTGGGGGAAAATATACTAGGATTAAAACAAGATATTTTTTAGCTTTCTAGACTTTCATATTTTCTTATATAAAAAATATTTCCATAAAATAAAATATAATTTTATACACAACCCCACCTATTCTAAGTTCACATCTGCTGAATAAAAAGTGTAACCTTTTCTACTGCCTGATTCTGATGTGTAAGTGCTCATTGGGAGCAGCTCCCTTTTGTATGTACACAGACACTGTTTGCAAACAAAATACAAAGTCACAGGAGCTATTAGGAAGGAAACTTCTCTGCTAAGAATCAATGAAACACAACAACCTAGGTATAAGTCTGCATAGCTCAAAAAATTCAAGTACAGTATTTCTCCTTTAGAAGGAGTGAAAATGCCATACAGTTTTGAATCCCTCATTTTTCTTCCTTTCATTCATTGGCCATACCAAAAGAAAAACTAAATATATTTTTCAATCAAATTAAAAACTACTGATCTTAATAGTGGAAAAACATTCATTCAAAGCTCACCATGCTAACCATTACTTCAATTTGCTCCTTTCCACATTCTTTTTGTTCCTTTAAGGTACTATGGTGAACATCAAATTAAAAAAAAAAATCTACTTTTCAAGGACCTTATGTTAAAATATGCTCCTAACATGTCAGTGTATGATTAAAAATGGAAATCTATACATGGCTATGATTCAGAAAGTGTGTATGATTTGTGAAGACAAAGGGCAACAAACAGTATTCTTAGTAAATGGTGATTTAAAAAAAATGTCATGAGGAAAAATGCCAGTGTAAACAGAATGCTTGCTCCAAATATAGCAATACTATGTTATAACATAGGGTCAGTCTAGAGCAGGTATGAGGATGGCTTACAGATAGGGAAGCTAATCGCATTCATGAATAAAATAATTCTAATTAACGCGAAGTGAGTTTGGAATATTTTCCTATGGTAATGCTATAAAAAATAAAAACAGAAAGTGTTACATATTTGGAAATATTAACTTTTTGGCCTGTTCAACTAAACAAAAAATTTCTGTAGCACCTGGCTATTTTACAGGGAAAAAAGACATTAGTTATCATTATTAAAAAAAAATCTTTTCAGCAAATAAAGGCTTACTTCAAAATTCCAAACCAAAGTAGACCGGTGCACCTGAGAACAGCTCTCTAGAGCTGCATGCCTCACTGCCCTGGTATTGTTGTTTTCAAGGCTAACTCTACCATATTCCAATAGCATCTATCAACAAGCAGCAACAAATGGCTGACAATTAGCAGCCTACACAGATGGTGGCACTTACAGTAGACCTTTCTTTGTTTCATTGTGTCAGTAACTCCTTGGATACTGAGAAATAGAACAGAATTCCAAAATGAATTTCTTTCCCATTTGTATATGTTTAAAGCAGATAAACTGCTCATTGTTTTTTTAGATGGTTGGCATATAGGTGAATATAATTTGGTGATAAATAACTACATACTGCCAAAAGACATTTCAGAAAAGGCAGATGAAAGTACAGTTGGGCCCTGAGCTAACTAGAGTTCTAACAGTGCAAACACTTGGCAACAGTCCTGGCTTCACCTTGACTTTTGCAAAAGCAGCAGAGCCCAAATTCACAGCTCTCTGAATGGGCGACAGAATGAGGTGCAGCTGTTGGGCTACAGCCACCATGTAAGATCTCCCAGATTCTTCTCAATCCACTGGATATTCAGCTGAATGACTTCCAAGGCCTCCTGGACGCAATGGAGCTGAAAAGTTGCCTCTGATTGACTTTCAAAGAATGACTTTACCTGTAAATTCCACATGCAAGGGTTTTAAAAGAAGAAAAGGATAGCTAGTAAGTCTTAGGTAACTCTGATAATCCTGATAAAAGCTAAGTTAAAGATGATTGTGCTAATATCCTGAAAACAGTGCAGAGAAGTACTTTAACATTCAAAGTATCTATAGGGAGATCTCAATCAAGGAGGATGATATCTGAAGAAAATGATCTTCCCTACTACTACGACGACGACTATTATTACTACTACTACTCTGCTCCTTACTATTTCTAACTAAAACGAAAAAATATGGGCATGAAATAATAAATGAGTAGAATCTGAAATAAGCCTTAGTGCTTTAAATTTGCCTTTGCTCTAATTCCTCAAGACAATTATATTAGCCACTTAAACAGTTTGTATTAAGATGACAAGGGAATAGTACTGTGAATGGACTCAGAATTTTCCCTCCTTGTCATATATCCAACCCTTGTAGAGTGACCTGGAAGCAAAATCCTTAATAAAGGAAACAGAGAACGAATAGGAATCAGCATGAAAAATAAATCACCATTTCATATAAATTCAATAGCTTAGGGGGAAAGGGTTTCCCAGTTTCCCTTCTTCCCACTTATACAACCAACCTCAGACAAGTGTGTCTTTGTTGAAAATAGGTGAGTTGATCCAGCAACAATACTTTGTATGGTATAAGACCCCAGATGGAACCTGGAAAAAAACAAACAAGAAAATATGCGGCAGGTGCTGGTAAACAAGGCCCTATTTCTGAGCAGAAAGGAATGCCTTACTGCCTAAGGCAGAGTGGAATCTTGCTGCCCCTCAGGGAGTCACGTGTCTATACACTTCCTTACATTGGAAGGCAAAGTGGGCAGAAAACGGTGGGGGAGGGGAAGATTGGGGATATTTAGAAAAATTCATATGCTTCTCAACGATCATACACACCCAGAATATCGTATTTGCTCTAGAAGACAAATGAACAGACAAACCTACCAAGCTATATGTGATCTAGCATGTGGTGAGTTCTTAAAGGATACCTTGGCAATAGAGACATTTCCAATATGCAAAATTTAGCTCATGTTATGCAATTATGTTTATACAACATAACATAAAGCTTTTTTTTTTCTAAATGCAGAACCTGAGAAATGGGAAAAGTTACTTAAACTTACTTCTGTACAAGCTTATTCCAGTTTTCTTTGACAAAATCCCAAGCCAGTAAGTGTCCGGGAAAATGCTGGCCCACTGTTCTAATGATAAATGACAACTTCTGAGTTCGAAAGGTATCTCCATGTAGGCAACTATTCATTAACCTGAAAAGCAGAACAGATACAAGCCTCCAATATAAGCGTTCATGAAGAAGTGACACCAGAACTTAAATTTGTATTGATTTCTTAATTAATGTTCTAGGCTAAGCCAAAGAAAATAACTATTGGGTTAGTCTAAAATTAATGTATAAACTGAAAACATGTTATTTTTAAATGAAGAAATCACTAAAATAATCACATGTACTGCCACTTAATATTATTGTTTCTGACATGGTAAGGAAATTTAAGAAATATGTATACAATACATATTTAAAATAATACATAATTTATTATAGTTCTAGAAACTGGCTTTTTTTTCAGATAAAAAACATTTTATTTCAGTAGGCTGGTATATAACTACTGTTAAAACCTGTATTCTTCACGCAAGTGCCAGTTACTCCTGTCTGTAATTCCAGCTACTTGAGGCTAAAATCTAGAGGATCCAGGTTTGAAGCCAGCCAAGACAGAAATGTCTATGTGATTTAATATTCTCCAAAATAATCAGCAAAAATGCAGGGCAGGAAGCATAGTTTATGGACAGAGTGCAGGCCAAGAAGCAAGCAAGTTGAGCAAATGTAAGGCCTTACTTAAAACCTGGATACCATTAAAGAGAAAAGAGCCTGGCACTGGTGGCTCTTTCCTGTAATCCTAGCTACTCAGGAGGCTGAGATCTGAGGATCCTGGTTCAAAACCAACAGGGCAGGAAAGTTCATGAGACTCTTATCACCAATTAACCTCCAGAAAACTGGAATGGCACTGTGGCTCAAAGTGGTAGAGCCTTGAGCTGAAGATCTCAGGGACAGTGCCCAGGCCCAGAGATCAAGCCCCATGACTCACAAAAAAAAAAAAAGAAAAGAAAAGAAAGAAAAAAGAAAAGAAACAAACTAATTTAATTAATTATAAAGTACCCTTATTAGTAGCAAATAATAGTACTAGACAACACTGGAAGTCTTCAATAGAACAATGCTATGAAGTAGGTGTATAATGCCTATCTCCATTTTATCACTGAATTCCATACCAATAAAGCCTTCGAACATCCTCTGAGCTGGCGAGAGCTTCAAGTATTTTGTTCTTTTCTGCTTCAGAGCCTACAGAGCTGTACTTGGTTAAGAGGAATAACCAGCCTTTCTCAGTTTTTGCTCCAACTTTGAATACAGTAGTCATGACATCAGTAGGAAGGCTGTAAGAGAGATAATAAAATGTGAAAAAAAACCCAGGAAATATTCTGAACACAAAAAGGAAGGAGCTGATTGGTAGTGGTGTTTTGGTGGCCTGTTTGGTAATAATTACAGAAGTCTTAACTATATACTTAGGGTAAAGAAAAAGGTCTATGCCCAATAGGGGTAGGAAAGGGTAGATGTATTTTAGTTTTCTGAGGAACCTCCATTCTATTTTCTACAGTGGTTGTACTAGTTAATATTTCCACCAACAGTATATGATAGTTTCTTGTTAGCATTTGTTTATTTTCTACACAATAGCCACTTAGAATGGAGGGAGATGAAATTTTAGTTTAGTTTGATTCATATTTTTTTTTAGGATAAGGCTGTTTGAACCTTTCTTCAAGTATCTGTTAGCTGTTAGGAATATAAATCAATAGAAAGATACTTGTATACCCGTAATTATTGTCGCATGTTCACAACAAGCAAATTGTGGAATTATCCCATGTGTCCAACAATAGAGGAATGGATAAAAAATAAGGAACAAATGTACCATGGGATATTACATAGACATAAAGAAAATGAAATTATTTCATTTGCAGGAAAATAGATGGAACTGGAGATCCTCATGTTGAGTAAAAAAGCCAAGTTCAAAAAGCCAAATATCACATGTTCTTACTCATTGGTGAAGCTAGACCTAAAAGACATACATATTCAGACACCTTCATATGTGTGTGTGTGTGTGTGTGTGTGTGTATATATATATATATATATATATATATATATATGTCTGCATGTGTACACTGCATGTGTGTACATATGTATACATACACACATATTTATGTACATTTATACATACACACAGAATATGATTCTAACTATGGGACTATTTAGAGGGATGAGGGAGAAAAAAAGGAATCAAATGTGAATAATACTGAAATATACTGAAGCCATGTACAAAGATGGCGTAAGTAATCTGGAAAATACATTACACTACATTACAACACACCATGGTATTAATAAAACAGTAAATGTGTGAGGCAGTGTATGAGAAAAGGAGATGAAACACAGTCCATCCCCTGATTAAGATCTGAGGTAAAAATGACTTTCAAATTTTCCACCCCAACTTTCCATCTGATATATGAATCTTCTCTCCATAATGCCCACTAAAGACCCAGGAGAGAATGTATTATCACCATGAACATTGCTACTAACTACTTACTCCAACTTCTACATTGTATTCCTAAATTGAACATGACTTGCTTGTCACCAGATATCCTTATCAATGCTTGATATCAAAAACTCAGAAATCAGGAGCTAGGGATACAGCAAGGCGACACAGCATTTGGCCATCATGTATAAGGAACAGGTTTGACTCTGCCCCCTCTCCACTTGGTGTTGGCAAGGATGTGTTAAACTGGAATGCTTACACACTGTTTGTGGTAATGTAAATTGGTAAGCTACTATAGTAAACAAATTGGCATGGCAGTTTCTAAAAAATATGTTTTTTAATGTCTGTGATCTAGCAATACCATTTTTGGATGCATATCCAAAAGATTTGAAAGTCAAATCTCCAAGGAACATTATTATACACCTCTGTTCATGGTAGTATTATTCACAATGATACAAGAGCAGAAACAATTCAAAAGTCTATTCTTGAATAAATGGCTAAATGTTATGTGCTAAATACATACATATGTACACATATTTTTTTATCCTTAAAAAAAGAAATTGACACATGTTACAACACATATGACCTCTAAGACATTTTGCAAAGTAAAATTAAACCAGTCTCAAAAACAGATATTTTATCTTATTTTACTTATATGCTGTATCTAGTATGTTCAATCAGAAAGCAGAATAATGGTTGTCAGTAGGTGTGTGGAGGAAAGAATCTTGCTCAATGGACACACAGAGTTTCAGTTTTGCAAGAGAAAAAAAGAGTTCTGGAGACTGGTGCACAACAGTGCAAATACACTTAGTATTACTGAACTATATGCCAAAAAATAGTTAAGTTGGCAAATAATATTTGTGTATTTGACCATAAATCTTCAAACTTATTTGAGAGCACATATGAACTGAGTTCATCTACATTAACCCAGAACGAGAAGATCCTGGTTTCAGAACAAGATGTAAAGTGACAAGATGTGTGCTTCACCTCTGGTTCCCGTTAGACGCCATCCAATCATCAAACAGCTTCATGGCAGTAGTGTTGCAGTCCCCCAGGTTGTGAGTGCAAGCAAAATCCAGCAAGACTGACCGAAGCTCTCGCACTGATGGGGTGCCATCATCAGTCCAAGTTTGTTGTTGGGTTTGGGTTTGAAGCAAATTATATACTCTGGTCTAGAGAGAGAAAATGGAGGATTTACCAATTAGACAATCAAAACAGTCAATACAAGTTCATGGCTTTTCCCCAACATTTATACACTGAGGGAAAAATGAGCACAGACATTACGTGCTTATTAAATATTAACTGATATATAAAGATTAAATATTGCTGGGACAAAAACATTCAATAACAAATTTGTAGTCAAGGTAGACTTATGATGATATAACTCAGAAAGAATTAATGACCTCTGTGTAGTAGAAAACTTTTAGTCTGTGTGTACTCTGCAAGAAGTTATCTCCTGCCAAAAAGCATCACTTATGATGATCCTGGCTATGATGGCTGGAAAGAAGGTGTAACTTCCTGACCTTATGACATTAGAATCTATAAACCATAAAGCAAAGAGAAAAATATACTTCATTACTAATAATGTTTAAATGTTTCTGAATCCAGTGTAAATGCAGTGCAAATTAAACAAATCATCAGCTTGATGTGCGAGTGAGTTAATCTAACTGCATGGAATAGGTATTCATAGTTTATTTTTTCCAGCCTGTTCATGTAAAAACTTTCAAGCCTATAGAAAAAAATGCAAGAATAGTACAATGAACACCCACATGCAGAGTTCAAGTTCATTATAAAATGTAACTTTCTCCATGAGAACCATTGTCAATCTCTTAAATGAATCCAACTTGAAGAGTTCTAAATTGCTGAAGTCATTTTCTTGGCAGACTTTCCCTGAGTAAGTCTGTGAAGCTACACAGTGAATGGAAAAGTGAATCTGTGTAAAGAAGGACTCTGAGTTGTTTGTTTGTATTATTACAGGTCACCTTGTTTTCATTTGTTTAAAAGCAAGTAGAAGAGAGACAGGGAAGCCTTGTGGAGGGGCCAAGGATGCAAGGGACTGGGTTGACTTGATATACTGATTAATAAAGGGATTGATAAAAGCAGTGCAGGAGACCCAGAGTGTACACATGCCAGTGTCCAGTACAGCTTGCCTGAACTTTCTTAACTTTTCAATAGCACAGAATCAATAGTATTGTAATAGTCCACTGCCCAAAATGAGCAAAGAATAGAAGAAATTCAAAAGTTACACATTACTTTCAAATAAACACAAAAGAATTATGTAAGAAAACAAAGTTTACAAGTTCAATCGTTAGTGAGAAAAGTCTCCATGGAGAAATCACAGCAATGCTCATTGAGACCATACAACACAAGAACCCAGGGAAATGGCCCAATAAAGCACTAAGTGCCAACAACACTGAACAATGTAAGAAGCTGAGGCAAATCCAAAGTTATTATACCACTGGAAATACAGTGTGGGATTTTGCTACTTAAACTCACTGTTAAATAATTAAGGTAAATTCAATTGATTTTAAATATATCTCAAATTATAACATAAAAAGTTTTATAAAAACAATCCTATTTCTAGAAAAACTATGATAAGATCAGTTAAGTAATTCAGATTATAGTTTCTTTTTTCTTTTTTTTGCCATATTGGAGTTTGAACTCAGAGCCTTATACTTGCTAGGCAGGCACTATACTGCTTGAGTCTTACCCCCAACACTTTTTGCTGTTAATTGTTTTCCATATAGTGTTTCATTTTTGCCTAGGGTTAGCCTACTCCTACATACAGCTCCTGCATAGCTGAGATTAGAGGAGTGTACTATCATAATAAGTAACTTATTTAGTAAGGTAAACATCCTGTTAACTTTTGGTCTGGGCTAGTCTAGAACTGTAATCCATCTGATCTCTACCTCCTACAAAGCTGGGACTAGAGGCATGAGCTATGATGACCAGCCACAAGTTATATTTTCAATATTTATATTTAAAAAATTACCTTTCCATTTTATAAATAAAGCCTGTTTTCCTAGAGTTTCCCCATTAATCTTCTGAATTCTAGAACCCAATCCTATGATTTCATAAAGTAAAAACAGGACCTAAGGAGTAGGAATAAATTGATAGGTTGTATAAGCTACAAATGCTGGATATGCAATAAAATGTAACAACAATAATATAAAATGATTTTAAAAATAAAACACGGAAAGATGCTGGCACTGATGTTATATATTATGTTTTGATTTACTGCTTTAATCTTACACTAATACGCCCAGGGAGTTCTTTCCTAGGTCAACTGAGTTTCTTAAAAGTGAAATGTCAATTTTTATTGTAAAGCATTTATCCCACCCATACCTCATATATAAGAGAATAAGAGATTTGTAAGTGATAAAATAGGAATATGGCTATGCTCTGACATTAACTTCAGATGAGAACAATTTAACACAATTTCAATGTATCTCCAGACTCTACCCACAACTCCACAAAAACATCACAAGATGTGCCACATTATTTGTACAGTTTTCACACCAATAAATACATAATTTTCTGATTAAAATAGCATAAAAACAAATTAGACAACAATATTAGACGCTAGCACATTTGAACACTGGATTCATAGACACAGAAAGGTCTGGCCACTCCAACTCCTATTACAAATTGATTTCAGAGTTTGAGAATTTTTATTTGTTTTTAGAATACTGGGATTTAAAATCAGGGTCTGCTGCTTGTTTTAGCAGGCAGTCTACTGTTCCAGCCTCCCCATCCCCCGCCCCCCCTTTTTTTGCATTGGTTATTTTTTGAGATAGGGTCTGGTACATGGCTGAACCATGATCTGCCATGGTTCACGACAGGCATATACAACCACATCTAGCTTATTTCTATTGAGATGAAGTGTTGAAGATATTTCTGTCCAGGCAAGCCTGGAACCTACATAGTTTAGGACAACAGCCATGCATCACTATATTGAACTACAGGTTGAAAATGGGTCTTATAAACTTTTTTGCCTAGATTTACCTCAAAGTGTGATCCTCCTTTTCTCTGTCCGCAGAGTAGCTAGGATTATAGGTAGGAGTCCCTGATACCTAACTTTATAGTTTGAGAATTTTGATGTTACAAGATTAGAGTACAAATTTAAAAGAAATAAGCTCTTGATGAGCTAAAGTACAATTGGCTTTAACTAACTAAATCTTGCTTATACCAAGACATTATGTTTACTTATGAAAACATAAATTTTACCTTTCACACATAGATGTATGGTGGATCTTTAATTGGTTTGTGGTTATGTTTTAGAGTAGATATCCGTTTTTCCAATATGGGGATCTAATTATCTAACAAGAATTATTTCATTTAATGTATTTATTTTTAATTATAGAATTACTTTCGAGGTGATTAGTATTATATCAAATCAATACCAGTTAAGGTAGCACATTTGTTTCCTAGGGCTGCCATGACAACTTATTATACTTTTGGTATTAAAAAAATAAAAGAAATTTATCTGGTATCAGTGGCTCACACCTCTAATCCTAGCTATTCAGAATGCGGAGATGTAAGAATCGCTCTTCAAAGACAACATGGGCAGAAAACTTCTCTCAAGACTTTATCTCCAATCATGCTTCATGATTCAAGTGGTAGAGTGTCATCCATGAGCAAAGAAGTTGAATAAGAATGAGAGGCCCTGAGTTCAAGCCCTAGGACTGAGAAGAGGAGACAGAAAGAGAAAGAAAAGGAAGAAAGGAAGAAAGAAAGGAAAAACGAAAGGAAGAAAGAAAGGAAAAACGAAAGGAAGAAAGAAAGAGAAAGAAAAAGAAAGAAAGAAGGAAGGAAGGAAGGAAAGAAAGAGGGAGTGAGGGAGGGAGAGAAGAAGAAAGAGGAAAGAAGGAAAAGAGGAAAGATTGAAAAGAAAGAAAGAAAGAAAAAAATGAAAGGAAGGAAGGAAAAACATTTAAGAAGTTTATTTTGTCATAGTTCCAGAGGCTAGTGGCCAAGGTCAAGGTGCTGATAGGTAAGATTTGTTTCTTCTAGGAAGAATCTATCTTATAACTTCCTCTTAGCTACAAGTGGCTGTCACTAGCCAATGGCATCTCTGGATTTATGGATACATAACTCAGTCTTACCATTGTTGACATGCCCTTCTCTATGCACCTTTGTCTCTGAAATTTATCTAGTGTCCTGAAGATACCAGTCATTAGATTAGATGGCAACTGGGTATAACCTTGTTTTAACCTGATAGTATCTGCAAAGGGCCTATGTATTCCATATACTACAGCAGCCTCAGGTTCCAAAGAGACATGAATTTGAGGGAGAGGAAACACTATTCAATGTAATACAGGTAGCAAGAAATGAGACTCATATTTTATCCCACTACAAAAGGACTATTGTTGGTTCTAAGTATATCCTAAAAGGAGGCAGAATATCTATCTACTCTGAAGCTGTCCAGCTTCAGAGTATGTCCTCATGCCTCTCTCTACTAATTCTTCTATTCATTTTTAGTCCCTGAAAGCAAAGATATTAAACTCAATTCAAGGAGTTGGGCCTTTGGAATCTTTTACTATTAAAATTTAATTAACTTTTTTCTTACTGCATCTTCATGCTAGGTAGTTCCCAGTTTCCTAGAATGCTTTATGTTTATAAGGAACATACTTCTTTAGAGTGGGACTCAGGGTGGATAAAGGAGAAGGACCTTAGGGTTAATATGTGTTTTAAGATCAATGACATTTTCTTAGTGTCACTATGGGCCAGGTCATGTTCCCAGTACTTGTTCTTATTAGAGCTGATCTGGAATGGAAAATGATTTTTTTAAAAATCTTAACTATTGAAAGAGATCTCAGAAATTATTTAGCATTATCATCTGACTAATAGGTAGTCTCTCTTGGGATCAGATCAGAAACTTCTGGGGAGTTGGTGCTTTGCAACTCCACATGGCTCATCTCTGTCCAGAGGTCCTCCCTCGGGGAGAGTCATGCAGGTGATAAGACAGCATACCACAGATAATTGTGCAGTAAGACAAGACAGGTAGAGAGAGTTTCTTTCAAAAAAATGATTTAACCCAAGCCATTCCTTTTGCCAGAGAGGTCACCAAAACTACAAAAGACTTATTCTAATTCCTGGTCTAATACTTCTGTCCTTTTCATAAAACTTGCTTTTGCCTGGGATCTTGAAAAACCAACTTACAGAGCATGCCAGGAATATGTTGAGTTAGAGAATCAATATAAATAGTTTATCATTCCTTCCCAACCTTTTAAAGAGTCAACTAGCAGTTCAGTATTGAAAGTGTCTAAAATAACAACTGTTAAGATTTTTTGGTTTATTTTTTGAAGCAATATTAGCGTTTGAACTTAAGAGTTTTGCACTTGCTTGGGAGGCTGTCTACTTCTTTAGCCATGCCTCCAGTAAGATTGGTTTTAAGGTAACAGTACAGTATCAAGAATCCTTTAGTGCCTGCCGAGACATTTCTACTCACAAGTATCACTTCACGCTGGAGGAAAATCAGCAAGAAGCTTAAGCAGGATATTTTTAGTACAAGCAACTGCCTTTGTATACTGATGACTAGGAAATTAATAGGTATGCTGACTTTGAACAAAGGGTCCATTTCAAGCATTCTTTGTATAAAAAGAAAACAGCTCTTCAATAGAGACATTTTCTTTTCATATAAGCTCATTTTTGAGAGCTTAGTACTGTATCTTAATACTGAAACAATACTTCTTCATAGGAAGCCTTTATCATGGTGAGAAATGGATTTGATTTAAAGTAAAAATTTCAGAATCAAGAAAATGAAGAAAATGGAATTCAGCTGGTTTGTTTTTTGTTTTTGTTTTTAGCTGAATGGAACAATATTAAGAGCAGCCAACAATAGAAACTGGCCAAAAGGCAGACTTACCACTAGTCTTGAAGCCAGATCCATGTGTCCCAGTTTTTCAAGAAGGTTATAGATGAGGTTTGTTTGGTACAGGGCTTCAGTGATAGGTGCAGTATGGTTCTCATTTTTAAGATAATCAATCAAGTCAAAGGCCTTCTTCAGAGGCACCTTGCCTAGGCTAAAGAATACAATAGGAAAGGTAAACATGATGCGCTATGCAGAACTCTAGGCATGCTGAAGAGAAAGCAGCATGGCTAGATGGCAAGTTTTGTAGATCAGAACTTTAAGTTTAGAGTGGAATACTGTAATGCATAAACTCGGATTACTGTCTTTTAAGTTGCTCATGGGCAAAGTTGAATTTTAAATGCACATCATACCTTATTTTTTACATAAGCCACCTGTGCCACTGACTCAGTAACAGCATGACAATGTCTTAGATGAGAAAAAATTAGTATTAATTTTATTTATTAAGTGCTTGTATTTACTAGAGGAGGAAGGGCATAGAAAGTTATATGAGCCAGGTAAGAAAAATAAGTTTTCTGAGTGCCAATGGCTCATGCTTGTAATCTTAGCTACTCAGGAGGCTGAGATCTGAGGTTCAAGGCCCAAAGCCAACCTGGCAGGAAAGTCTAAGAGACAGATCTCAATTAATAACCAAAGAACAGGAAGCAGAAGTATGGCTGAAGTGATATATTGTTAGCCTTGAGCACAAAAGTGCAGGGACAGTACTCAGGCCATGAGTTGGATAGTGCCAGGCCCCAAATGCTGCACAAAAAAATAAAAAGAAGAGGGGCTGGAAAGGTGGCTCAGTGGTAGAGCACTTGCCTAGCATGCATGAGGTCCTGGGTTCGATTCCTCAGTACCACATAAGCAAAAAGAAAAGAGCCGGAAGTGGTGCTGTGGCTCAAGTGGTAGAGCGCTAGCCTTGAGCTGAAGAGCTGAGGGACAGCGCCCAGGCCCAGAGTTCAGGCCCCATGACTGGACCCAAAAAAAAAAAAAAAGAAAGGAAAGGAAAGGAAGGAAGGAAGGAAAGGAGAGAGAGAAAGCAAGCAAGCAAGAAAAGGAAGGAAGGAAGGAAAGAAAGAAAGAAAAGAAAAAAAGGAAAAAAAGAAAAAGCATTTATTTATTTTTATATGGAATTTTTCTGCATAATTTGCTAAGGAAAGATCCACTTAAAAATTAATCAGTGTAGAATTACAGCAGTAGTAGTCACAGTGGTATAAGAAGGCTACTTCATAAGGAAGAAACCAAAATGGGAAGGTCGAGTATAGTCATATGAGATCCATGTGAATGTTTTCTATGCTTCTAGGCCTATTATCAATCTCAACTGGTAATCTCTTTAGAGGATATTTTTACAAGAGGCTACTGCCACTCTTGGCACTGGGATTCTCTAATGCATGAGGAGGAGCAAACAGACAGAGGCTCAGCCCACCAGCCATGTGCATCAGACCCATGGATAAAAACTAAACTTCACACTTACACAAACCAATGCTTGATAATTCTCTTATGAAACAACATAAAGCCTGAATTCCTACAATAACTTATTCAGCAAAATATGCATCCTTCTTGCTGATATCTAGTTTTGAATTATTATGAAAGTCTGTTTCACATGGCTGAATTATTGGCATTTTGTTTGTAGTTGATGTTTCTAGATTATAAAGTCTCTGCAAGCAAAGGACAGCTCTTGCATTTCCCTCATCTTGGAAATGAATTGTAACTGAGTCACACTTACCAGTACTTTCAACCATTTCTGAACTGTTGTTTTTTTAAAATTTCACTAACAGTTTTTATAAACAACAGTGCAAACCAATTATACTCTACCCTGCAAGTTCAAAGATGTTGTTGATGAGATTGGCTCGGTCCTTGTCACTCAGAACATAAGGATTCATTTTCAACTGTTTGATCAGTGCTGCCCAGTCTTCATCTGCATAGTGTACAATATAATAGCCAGTCATGTTTGTGTTGACTTTGACCCACTGCACTTGTTCTGTAAGGTTGATGACACCTAAGAAACAAAATGAGACATTAAGTAAGAACACAAGGGAAAACAGAGGGTGTTTTGTTTGTTATCAGATGAAATACCACATTTTTTTTTTCAGAAACTGAAGACCAAACTCAGGTACTTGTACTTGCCAGGCAAGTACTCTTCCACTGAGCTTAATCGCCAATCCATAGTTTTATATTTAACTATCTGTACCTTTCTGCAGTTATTTTCACTTTAACTAAGGTCACCACACATTCACTGAAGAATTATTTATTTATCATACATTATTGGCTCTGGGTTAGCAATGGAGCACACATGATAAAGGTAGATACGTTTCTGCTTTTATGGTGTAATATAGTTAAGTACAATATCATGTGAATGGCACTGATGGAAAAAGAAAATACAACATTCGCTTGGAGAAATATTTCACCCCAAAGAGAGGGTGAGGTCTCTTGGAAGAAATGACAACAGAACTGCCATTCTTTTAAGTGATTTGTTCTTTTTAGCACACATAAGTGTTAGCCAGGTGAAAAAGTTTTGTGGGGACCTTTAGTGTTTATGACACTAAGAGAACTTATGTATGGTATCCATGTACTAAACTTGTTCCCAAGTTCATTATGGCTGAGAAATGAGGGACAAAGGTATATAGAGTGGGGCAGGAGGAGAAAACAATAGGCAGCTATAGTCTTGCCTTTTGTAATGTTTGTAAAAGGAGAATAAAGCAAAGTTACATGATTCAAAGCTAGCAAAATAAATGAGTGGGAAGGCTTAAGACTTCCCTGGGCACAAATATGAAATAATTGACATAAAAGAATAGAAATGTTAGATGTGCTTTTTGGACCCCTACCATTAGATATATAAATGCTGGCACAATTGTTAGAAATTTCTATGGAATTTTTTCAACTAAAATACAAGTAATGAGGAACTGACAACTAAATAAAAAACTTTTAAAAGTCAGCAACAAGAATATGGATTCATTGTAATAGCAGTATGTTTTTAGGTATCCAGAGATTCACTATTTATTAGAATATAAGTCCTCTGTGCTTCCTGTTTTGTTACTGCTAATACTGCAGTCCTCAGAGCAAAGTACCTAGCAGGTGCTAACAAGATACTGATTAAATTAATGAACAAATTAACAAATGATGGTTATGACATGGGAAAGAGTTTCAAATCAAATCTGAATGAAGGATGTATATAATTCTGATATAATTCTATTTCAAAGTAATAAATACTTAAAAATTTTTAATTATAAGATAAAGAAGAGTATAGATCAGGGAAATAATCCAATCTGTTAGCATCTTGGAGTGTATTTCTTGTCAAGCTTTTTTCTATATGTGTTTTAACTAATATACACCATACAGTGGAATTACATGCAATTATTTATCCCACAGTTTCAACTACCAGGTCTCCCTCCTTTTTTCCATTTTCTTTATATGTAGTTTTCAAGTATTAAATACCTTTTAATATTCCATTTCAAGACCTACTGCAGCTCCTATTTGAAGAATTTAGATACTAACATTTCACATTATAATAATTCTTTAGTAAAATTTTTCAGTTATGAAATGCTTCAGAAACACAATTTTAAAATGAAGTACATATTAGTACCTATAGTTTTATTGCTTGTCAGCTTCAAATACATGAATTAGTCAAATACATCAAATTACCTTTGTTACTTCAGTCTATTGTTAGTATAAAAGTTGTTTAAGAGAGAAAAGACTTTTTTCTTTTAAACTCAGGGTTTTATACTTGCAAGGTAGTTAGTTATTCTTCCACTTGAGCCATGCCTCCAGCCCTTGGTCACATACATCTTAATAGGACATATTATTCTTTCTTGTTGAGAAAGTCAGTACTAATTTCTATTGTATGGCTGACATAGTGACATATGGAAAAGATCAATCAGATTAAATGCAGAATGCGCGTCTAAGGAATATTTGTGATGGCAATAGTTTGAGCTATTCTTAGCAAACTTATGACTAATAAAATTAGTGTTGTTAGTTCTTCCAAAAGGATTAGCACTCTCCAAGTTAATACACACAATTCTTAGCTTTTTTCAAGAAAGGAAAAGTGAAAGAGCCCAAGTCTCCAGTGCGTAGAAAAGGAGACAAGGAATAGGGATAGCAATTACTGCAGCAGATAAGGGCAGGGAATTATGAAATACCAAGTATCTTGGCTGATAAGCAACATGCCATGCTGTAGCCAAGTCCAGATGGCAGAGCACAGGAATGGAGCTAAGAGTATCTTGGAAATTATTATGGTCATCAAGTTGACAGAATGAATATTGAGGAATGCAGCCAACAGCATAAAGCAGGAGAACTGTCAGAGTTTAAAGAATCAATGTTTAAAGAATTTCTTTCAGGACTTCTGAGTGATCTAGAATGAAAACCACAGGTATCAAAAAATAATAGATTTGCACACAAGGGAGGTAACTATTGAAGTTTCCATGTGGATGAAGCTACCCTCATATGCTTTTAATTTATAAAAGGATTAACAGTTCCATTTTTACAGTCCACTGAATTGGAAAAAAATAAGAACAAGTGACTCCAATCCTAAATGGCAGAAACCCAGATGAAGCGATCTTAATTGTGATTTTTTAAAAAACCAATGAGGTGTGAAATCAACTACTGTTTTACAAAGAAACATTAAAATGGAAACAAAAACATGTTTTTGTACAAAGCTATAAAATTTGATGTCCATTTGTTCCAGAGGACTAGCCTGACACATGTAGTTCCTCTGTAGCACCCCCACCCCAGTTACCAGGCATTACCATCCCAGGTTCATTCCCTTTCTCAATAGGGAAGCAAGCAACAAGAACAATAATGGCACATGGTAAGCATTTTAATTACATCCTTTTCCTTATTCTTCTTTCCCAATTTCCTTTCCTTCTTGTTAGGTCTCTCTCTCTCTCTCTCTCTCTCTCTCTCTCTCTCTCTCTCTTTTTCCTTTGGCCAATCCTGGGCTTGAACTCGGCCTGGGCACTGTCCCTGAGCTCCTTTTGCTTGAAGTTAGTGCTCTATCACTTGAGCCACAGCATTACTTCTGGCTTTTTCTGAGTAGTTTACTAGAAATAAGAGTCTTCTGGACTTTCCTGCCCAGGCTTGCTGGGAACCAAGATCCTCTGATCTCAGCCTCTTTAGTTAGGATTACAGGCATGAACCACTGCCACCTGTGCCTGGCTATTGCTATGTCTTTTAATCTCACAGAAATATTTCCAATACAGTTATATGTTTTTAAAATACATATTTTTTTCTGTTAGATTTCTCCTATTGTTAAAGAGAGTAAGACAAGAAAGTAGGAATAAAGGAGAAAGAAACATTTGCAGTATATTCCTTAATATGTGGCTTTGAAAATGGACCTTTTAGTTTTTCTTATGAAAAACAACAAATAATTGTTCAAAATTCATGTATATAGGGAAAAAGCCATAAAGATATTGGCAAAATATAATTGTTATGTGATTAAACTAATGAATTAATCGAGCAACCCTAAAACTAATACGAAGTAGGAATTTTGAAATATAGCACTAGTTGCTCACACCCATAATCCTAGCTACTCAGAAGGCTGAGGATTGTGGTTTGAAGCCAGCCCAAGCATGAGTCTATGACACTCTTTATTTCCAATTAACCGCTAAAAACCTAGTTCTGTTGCTCAAGTGGCTTAATCTTGAGGGAAAAAGATCAGTTGAAGCCAGAGTTCAAGCCCTAATACAGAGCATGCGTGCACCATAATAATACTGTATTAAACTTGCATAACATAAAAACATGCCTATCGTCACCCTGTCTGCTACATTTCAAGATCAAAAAATATGAAAATGCACGTTAAGAGTGCATGTGAATTAAGCATCAGAGTATTAGAAACCAAGAAGACTCAATTGATCTTAGGTCACATATTTTTTATAAGAACATAACATTTTCAACAAGGACTTTCAAAATTTGAATTATAGCAGCAGCAATAGAAGAGAAAATAAAGATTAAGAAGGGAAGTAACCGATATTGCTTTCATTGTATATTGGCCCAGATTCAGTTCTAGATTAAGCTAATTATATTTTATAGATTCCTGTAGAGTAAGAATCTTGCCTGTGGCAAGGCAGAACATTGTAGGAGAAAGACATGGCAGAGGAAAAAGCTGTTCATCTCATCACAGCCAGGAAGCAAAAAGCAAAAGAGACAGGAAGGGGTCAGAGCAAAATACATCCTTCAACGACATGCTTTCAGGCTGTGAAGAGGTGAGCAGTCTCTACCATGTCTTTCTGCCACAATGCTCTGCCTGGCCACAGGCCTGAAAGCAATGGAGCCAGCTGGCAGTGAACTGAAACCTCTGAAACTGTGGGCTGAACAACAGAAATCATTCTTCTTAAATGTCTCTTACCCCTTATTCAGTGACAAAAGACTGCTTACTCTAGCGAAGCTTTCCCTCAACCCACTCAAGGTTGATGCTCTACTTATATTTTCAAATAACATTCTCTACTTTTCTACTCACAATATACTGAACATACTGCTTCCTTTATACCTATGCCCATATTAGATACACTCCCCACTGAGGGTAAGGATCATGGCTGCCTGAGTCACTTTTGAAATATAAAGTTTAAAGAAGATAATTCGAACTTATGAAGTATGAATTTCAAAAGGAGTTTAACAAGGTCACATATTAAAAGAGCTAATATCAACAAATATTTAATGTGTTTCTTCATTGGCTCCTTTTAAATATTCTAGCCATATTTCATCTGTGATATTAGATACAAAGAGGCAGAGTTCTTTCTTTCTCCCTTGGGTAACAGCGTGTGTCCTTCTAAAGTCCCTTTAAAGGTTAAAGTTTTGATGCTGAGCTGTGGCTCAAATAGTATAGACTAGCAGCCTGAGGCTGAATTAGAATCTAACATAAAAGTTCAGAGTTTTGATCTATGAAAGAAAGCAGCATTTCCTTGCCTACATCCACGTTATATTAATCAAGATAGCACAATACCACCAACTGCTCCTTTTGTTTAAATACCCAGACTTGCTATTGTTACTGTAACAGTAGCAGCACCATTACACAGCAGTCTGTAGTAAAGTGTCGATGAAACTGGCACATTCCAATATCTCAGAGGGCACTGTCCACTGTTACCTCCTAGGGAAATTCAGTCACATGTACCAGATCACAACAGGTAACTGTCTTCATTTTTGAGAAGCATTACAGTTTATATAATAGAAAAAATATGTTGGGTTTTTAATTTTTATTGAAGGATTTTAAAAGGAGGATTAAAGACAAATATTGAATCAAGTATCTATCAACAAGGGAAGGCTAAGTCAATTACTATTGTTATTGTTATTATTACGTAAGTGTGTATGTGTGTGTGTGTTTGCTAGTTCTGGGTCTTAAATATAAGGGCTGGCAGCTATCCCTAAGCTTTTTTGCTCAAGGCCAACACTCTATTGTTTGAGCCACAGCTCCAGTTCTGACTGTTTTGGTGGTTAATTGGTGATAACCGTCTCACAGACTTTCCTGACCCACATGGCTTCAAACTGTGACCCTCAGACCTCAGCCTCCAGAGTAGCTAGCATTACAGGCATGAGCCACTGGCGCCCCACATACTGTGTCTTTTTTTTTTAAGGCACATTACAAAAACCACACGTACATGATGATTTCAATCAAGTAGAAAAATTATTTTTTAAATGCAAAGAAAAACTTAATATAGTACTTATGATGAGAGTAAATTTTGTTCTTTTTAACATATTTTATGTAATATAGATAAACTATGTTTAAAGACAAGTTTTTTTCAATAAGAATAATGTTAGTAATAACAAGCTAACATTTCTACAGTACCTATCACCCACCAGGCATTATTTTAGAAGCTTCATATAAACAAACTCATAATTTTCACAACTCTATTTAGTAGGTATAATTACCATCTCTATTTTACTTTCTAGAGGATGAGGCTCAGGGAAGTCAAATAACTCGCCTATAATCACACAAGGGATACATGGTTAGGCCAAAACATGAATCAAGCAATCTGGCTCTATTCACTTCTCAAAGGTATATTTACTTTTCAAGCATACAGATTTAAACATAAGCTTCAAATTCAAACAAGAACATTTCCTCTTTTTTTCCAGAAATCTAAAACATCATTACTGATTCCTACAGAACTAAAGAGCTGTATGTACTTTTAGTATGTAAATTAAAATGATACACAGTATGGCATATCAGAGTGGCATTTAACAGATGGCTGAAAACTCAACTGCTTTTTATAGACTCCTTATGGGTCAGCATATACAGATTGAATATCCTTTATCTGAAATACTTGGGACCAGAAGTATTTCTGATTTGAATTTGTTTCAGATTTTGTACTATTTGTACAGATTTTACTGGTTACACACCCCAAATCCAGAATCTGAATTGTTCCCAAATCTGAAACATTTTGAATGTTGTATGGTGCTCTAAGTTTCAGATTTTGAATTACTTTTAGGTATGCAGTAAATTTTATGATCACTTTCATCCCTGCCTACCATAATTTCTTACCTCAACTTTTTATTACCAAAAGTATTCTATATATACAGGACATGTTATAGTAAGTGTTTACTATAAATGTAGGTCCCATAAATCATCAACCATACTTATGTCAATGAATTTGCCATATACCACCTGTAGGAAGTAGACAACAGATTAGTGCTTTAAGAATCTGCTCTATGGGCTGGGAAGGTGACTCAGTGGTAGAGCGCTTGCCTTGCAGGCATGAGGCCCGGGGTTCGATTCCTCAGCACCACATAAGCAAAAAGAAAAAAGCCTTGAGCTGAAGAGCTGAGGGACAGTGCCCAGGCCCAGAGTTCAGGCCCCACAACCGGACCCAAAAAAAAAAAAAAAAAAGAATCTGCTCTACTTTATTCCTTCTTAGTTTATAAAAAAGGTTATTTATCCAGAACATAAAAATAAGGCATTTACTATTTTCTACCAAGATAGTCAGCACATTTCCTGCAAATTTCTGTATATACCTTACAACTAAGGACTAATTCTGTGCATATATAGAATCAATCTCATTTTAGTGACGTCTTGGACCAGTTCAGAGCATATACACACTGGAAATCAAATCTCTTATCTGGTGTTTGGTCAGCTTTTTAAAATTTTATTTTTTTATTTTTTATCAAATGTTAATTATAGCCAAACCTGATTTCTTGTCCAGTAATGACAATGATTGATATTTTGAATAATTTCTTCCATCAGTGACATAGGAGATTGGAATATGCCACAGGTAGCTGTAAAAAGAAAACATTGAAGTATTATTTCTCTTTCCAATCTTTCATGATTTGCTGAGTTTGGAGCAGAAAGGTGAAATTTTTCAAAGTGCTCCTAGAAAGGGTAATCTTGTGACATTTCATAAGAACCTATAAGATTTTTAGAAGTACTTCAATTAATGAGTGCAAAAGAGACAATACAGCCAGGCACTGGGGGCTCACACCTGTAATATCAGCTATTTAGAGGGTTGTGATCTGAGTATTGAAGTTTGAAGCCAGTCTGGGCAGGAAAGTCCTTTAGATTCTTATCTCCAATTAGCCCCCTTAAAACTGGAAGTACAGTTATGGCTCAAAGTTGTACAGTGCTAACCTTGAGCAGAAAAGCTCAGGGACAGTGCCAAGGCCCTTAATTCAAGTTCCATGACTGATGAGAATGAGAGCAAGAGAAAGAGAGAACAGAAAGAAAAAGGAAAAGAACCTTGCATCCGAGGGCTGGATTTCATGTTTCATATTTAAAAAGAACCTCTCTTGTTGTATAAAAAGTTCCATTCCTTTCCTCTGAACAGTCACTAAAGGAAATCCTTTCTGCAGAGTCCATGTTTTCATCATTTTCTTTATATCTGGCGTTTTGTTCGTTACCTATTAAAAAAACAACATTTTTACTTAAATAAAATTAGTTTTAGCTCTATAGTTTGTCTGTAACCTTCCCTTTTTCCCTAGCATATTTTATGAAAACATATTATATGTTAATATAGTAAAGAAGCATGAATGCTAAATTGAATTTGTATTTTTGTTTAGTAGGGTTTTGTTGTTGTTGTTGTTTTTTTTTTGCCCGTCATGGGGCTTGAACTCTGGGCCTGGGCGCTATCTCAAGGCAAGCGCTCTACAACTTGAGCCACAGTGCCACTTCTGCTTATGTGGTGCTGAGAAATCGAACCCAGGGCCTCATGCATGCAAGGCAAGCACTCTACCACTGAGCCACCTTCCCAGCCCCATTGAATTTGTATTTTTAACCAAGGTAATTGGCCAATTACTAAAAGGAAAGTAACCTAGAACAGAACTGAGTGTTATGGAAGGGTATGAGGAGGGCAGTATGATGACAAGCAGCGTATCTGTTATCAACTTGCTGAGAGTTAAAATTAAAATCATTCAATTTATTAAGATGAAGGGATAAATTCTCTTTCTGAACATAACATCATTTCAGTGATATGATTACATGTGCTCTAGAATGGCTTCACCTCTACTCAGAAGTTTCTTCCTGTTCTCCTACCTCTACTCCCTCAGTTCTGGTCCCTTAAAGGCCCATTCCCGAGGAAGTGCCAGCAAGCAGCAGCAGTAGCAGAAGCATCCATTCCTTTGCTTTGAACTTTCTTTAGGGAACAACTATAAACACTGTGATTGTCATAGATTTTATCTCCCAGAAAACACATGAACTTATTGGTAAAATAGAATCCAGTATCCTAAGTCCACAGACCCTATAAAGCCTGCTGTCCCTAAGAAATCTACGACTATCAGTAACCAAGAGGAAATTTATAAACCACTACTTTAAATAAGGAAGGCTGAATGTATGATATAGATTATTTTTCTACTTTATACAAATTTGAATTGTAAACAACTAAGTCATCATGTACCTAATTTTGCGATGCTACATTACTTTTGCTGAGCCTCCACCAATAATCACATGCCCACTAATTTAGGGTACAAAAAGATAGGAGGGGTTCTTTCCAAAGTCACTGGAATATTAATCTTATATTTCTATGTCTCTGAACTTTCTGGATTTGAGGCTGGGAAAAGAAAGCAAGGGGCTGCTTTATTGTATGTGAAAATTTGGTGTAGATGCTAAAAAAGCTGAAGGTAATAAGGTTGAACTAGGACACCACAATGTAAAAGTTACAGTTATTCACAAAGGCAAAAATACATTCTACATGTCAAAAGATGAGGAGAGGGTTAAGAAGGGGTAATAGAGACAGTGTGAATTTGATGGATTTGTACAGTTATATACATGAATATATATTTATACATGTATATAATTATCACAGTGGAGCTCCTTTGTACAACTAATTTGTACAAAGTGTATAAAGTAAGTGAAATGGCTTTCAAAATGGGAAGGGATGGGAAAATAAAAAATAAAAGTTAAAAAAAATGAAATGGCTTGGAAATGCTACTATGTGACTAGAGGAAAAAAAAACAATGATTTGGAAGTGTTAGTTAATAAAATTGATCTTTCTTCTCAAAGAGAACTAAGAAAGCAAAGAAATTAGATCTAGGGGAAAATTTTAAAACATAGTAGGAAACACCAGGATTCAGGAGCTAAGCAATCAGGCATATACAGGAAAGATCCAAAGCAAATGTTTTTAAACCAGCAGCCATAAAACTGTGTGTTATATGTACTTAGCATATGTAGTTGGTATATGCATTTATTTACTTAGTATTTTATTTTCAGGAGGACATGGTCAGAAATTCAATCAATTTTAAACACATCTCTGATTATCCAGAGTATGAACTATGGCTCTAGATCAGAGAAACAACTCAAATGCTATGCAATCTCAGGGCTCTCACTTAACGTACATCCAATGAGGCAGGGTAGGATTATACATTTGAAGCATAACTTTTACTTAATTACCCTGCTTCTTAGAATATTTGTAGATCGAACAAAATCCAAAAAGCACAAAACAACACTAGGGCAGTCTGCAGCTCAAGGCAGTCAGCTTGTGATATATTATCTACTATAGAAGATCTGGATTAAGAAGACAAGAGATTCGTGGTGAACAGTATAAAACCATGAATGGAAGGTGGATTCCATGAGTGAGAAGAGATTTGGGGGGAAAAAAGGATAAAAAATATGGTATTAATCTATTAACATAGGGAAGACAATTTTCCTTTTCATAAAAAATAGAAGTGGAAACTAAGGCACACAATAATCATAGCTGTGTAAGGCCATGCATATCATATCTGTTCAATACTTAAGACCAGCACTCTCATTGCTTGACATTAAATTCAATTTTCCTTTCACAAGTATTAATATAGAAAGTATTATCCTCTCTCTTAAGTAACTACTCTTGATACCATAAACTTATTTACATATAAACAGAAACTCTCTTACAATAAGAAATGAGTTAATTATCCATCACTTACCTCATTAAAACTATCCCACAGATCATCACTTTGAATGGATCCATAGCTATGATTACGCAGGTAAAGAATGATAGCACGTTGAAACACATCTTCACTAAGGTAAGTTTTCAACATCAATAAGAGAGATGCTCCCTATTCCAAACAAAAAGGAAAAGGAAGAAAATATTAGATTATATGTTATCTAAAATTTGAACTATAATCGCTGTAAACATGTAGTTTTATATATACAACATAATACATTGTTAGTCTTATTTAAATAGATGCAGACTACATTCAAGTAAAATTATATTAAGGGATCAGAAAAGGAATTAATGGAATTCGATTTCTATGTATGCTAACTGAGCCATTAGCCATTTTGTATGGTCTTATTAGTAATTCACTGTTTGAACATTAGTAGTATCATGAATGCTCACTATTTATAAATACATTGTTAATGAAAACTATACTAAATTTTCTTTGGTGTCTCCACCCCCATTCATCACTTAAAAATATCAGGAGAATTCACAGGCAGAAGAAGAAGAAGTTAGCAGAGCTCTCACAAATCTCTTTATAGGTAGTATACTATTTTCTAATTTCAGTATACCATGATGTGAAGCAATAACAACTGAAGAATCACTTTAAATGTGCTTGAGTTTAATGAATGTACGTGGAAGCAAGTATGCATTAATAATTCATAACCAGGCAGGTAGGCAACTACTAGGGCAAGACTATTCACTGAGACACATGTAACCATTCCCATTCTGGAAACAGCTACCCCACCTGTGAAGCCTTTCCTGATTTCCATATATATATATCTATATACACATGTATATCTATATGTATAGATATGTATAGATATACATATAGATATACATATATGTATAGATATACATATATATAATAGAGAGAGATAGAGTGTTACTTTTTTTTTTTTTTTTTTTTGCCTAGACCGGCCTTAAATCATGCTCTTCTTATCTCTCCCTCTCAAGTTGCTAGGACAAGGCAAGCACTGTTGTTTGCTATGCTTGCTTTAATTCTATCCAGGAGGATCTCCTCAGTCTCTTTTGCTGGGCATTGTTTTCCCAATGATTAAACTTCCATGTTTCCTGGCATTTTCGCTATAGATCTTTGGACCTTTTTCCTTCTTTACACAAATTTACTTCCTAGTTGATTCAACTCTGAAGGTTTTAAATCACTCCCTAATTTACATATATCTAACTGTATTTTCCTTCTAAATTCCAGATTTATCACCAACTGTCTACTTAGTATGTCAAATAGTATATCTAAAATATATTTCATCCTATTTTCTTCTTGCCTTCAATAATCTCAATAATCTCCATTTTAGCAAATGATAGCTCCATTCTGCAGTTGTTAAAAAATCTTGAAGTTTTTTTACTCTTACATTCTACAGCTAATCTATCAGTTATTTTACTCTGTCAGATTTTACAAACCATTGGAAGTCTATCTCGCTTCCTTCACTACTAGTACCTATCTATCCATCTGTTAACTCAACCTAACTAGTTACTCTTCTTCCACATGCTACTCACAACCAGAGTGCTCTTTTCATAAAATAAGATGTATCATAATACTCCTCTGTTCAAAAAACTTTTTTCACTTACATTAAAATTAAGGTATTTATTATGGTCTATGACCTGTTCCTTATAATTCTGCTAATTTCATCTACTGTCTTTTTTGGGGGGGAGGGGAGGGAAGGATAGGGTTTGAACTCAAGGCTAGGTGCCTTCGTACACAATAAAATTCCAGACTCCACAAAGAAAAGCAGATCTTCAATATAACCTATATTGTTGGTGTAACTACTGTCATACTATATCTTGCACAAAATATTGACAACTGCCAAGTATAGGTCTTTTTGTAGTGAAGTGGAATATTTGTCAGACTCTCAACTGTAAAATAAGTTGTTACCATAGTGACCCATATGCTATGGAAATAAGAGGCTCAAAAGACAATGAAGTCTGTGTTTAGAAAACTTGCTTTAAAGGTAGAGAAGGCTCTGTTATAATACATCCTAAAAGTTTTATTTCTGTTCTCTGTAAGAACTGAAATTTAAATTTTTTTCCTTATTGGCAATTTCAGTATGAGCTTCAGAATCACTACAGTAACTAACTGGGATACATAATTCCCCCATATCCATATAGGATACTTTATAAGACACACAGTGTATGAACCAAATCACAGATAGTACCAAAACTTATAGAGACTGTGTTTTTTCCCTGTGTGTGCATATTTAGGACAGTTCAATTTATAAATTAGGCAGCAAGAGATTAACAATAATAAGAAAATTAATTATAATAATATACTATAGTAAAGTTATATGAAAGTAGAAGTCCAGTCTATCTCAAAATACCTTTATTTCAATTGCTGATCTTAGCAACTTCACCATATGACATTTTTCTTTTATGAAGATAACAATTTTTAATTGTTCACTTAAAGGAAACACTAAGTGTTAATCAAACACATGTGCTGTGAAATAGATAACTGGGCTGGTTACTAAGCAGCTAACAGGAAGGCAGTATACATAGCATGGATATATGGAAAAAGTGGATGATTCAAGTCAGGGCAAGACAGATTGAACTGTATCATGTTACTTGTTTATTTCCAGATTGTTCAATGTTTTTCAAAGGCTGCTTAACTCCAGGTAAGTGAAACCATGGGAAGTGAAACCACAACTAAGGGGGAACTAATACATACATCATGTATCTAATTAAACTCCTGATTTCCTTGCTCATTATTAACAGTGCTATAATTTTCCCTGATAGGCTTGAATCTGTAATTCAGTAGCAATTTCTTAACTTTAGATCTCTACCCACCTAATCCACTTTATAAACTGGAACCAATTTAATGTTTCTAAGGTTTCTCATCACTTACAGAAAAAAAATCTAGATTCCTTATGGAATGCAGGACTTTTGCAATGCAATCCATCCTAGCTTCATCTTTCCTGTATTCTTTGCCTATGGGTATTTGACTTTTTCTTTGTAGACCACATCATTCCATTCCTGTCCTACCCTACTTTCTCCATTCCTCTTTACTGATTTTCTTATTACGTAACTCAGCTCAATTTCCATTTTTCTTTAAAGATTCTCTTTCAGCATTTCAGGCAGAAGATATTCTCTGTATTACTATAGCACATATTTCCTCTTGAATTGCTTTTGATTATATGAAGTATCTCCTCGCATGTTTTATGTATTTTCTTCTGTATCTAATGCAGAAATTTATTAACCAAGTAATCTGACCGATCCCATCCCAACACAATATTGATATCTTCATTCCTCTTTTCTCAAACCAATGGTGATTCTTCCAGACCTGTTAATATTCTATACTTTCTTCATCCCCAAACCTAGTGTTTCACATTCTGCAGAACAATATTCACTTGTTAAAAATTTCTTTTTGTACTTGTTTTGACAATCTTAACTGGACTGAACTCAGGGCTACCTACATGCTTGCTACCACTTAGTCTCATGTTCACTTTGCACAGGTTAGCCTAAAATGTAATTCTCCTACTTCTACCCCTGAGTAGTTAGAACCATAGGCCTGGACCATCACACCTGGCCCTAAAACATACCTCAATTTCGAGTACGCAGTCAAAGGATTGCCAAGACCCTTCTTATTATATATGCTGCCTATAGATCTACACACTAAACCAACATTAGAAGATCTTGTTTAACTAACTGGAACACTAGTCACTTAAAAGAAGACAGAAACAAAGAAAATCTCAGAAAGGAGCAAAATTGCAATCGACTTAAATGCTTAACATCTAAATACTTTGAAGTTCAACAAGATACTGAAAACTAATACCCACTTCACCTTTAACATAATCCAAATCATTCAGACTGTTTACATATGAAACTAATTTGAAGGCTAGTAAGGTACTTTTTTTGTGTGCACAGCAGTACCTTAAAATAAGAAAGAGAATCAAACATTTCTTCAATTTGTTCTGAAGACTGAACAGATGATGATATTGGATGAGATGAATTCAAGGAATCTTTCTTCATGGTTTTAAATCGAGCATCTAAGAAATCTTCATACTAGCAAAAAATGAAACATGCATCATGAACAGTATAAAAGTCAAAGTCTTTATAACAATATTTAATGATTTATACCATTTAGTATTTAAAGTCACTATGAAACCTTCACTAAACATAAGAGTCTCACTGGAACTTTTCTCTTCAGGCTGGCGTCAAACTATGATCCTCAGATCATAGCTAGAAGTACAGGTATGAGCTATTGGAGCCTGGCATTCACTAAACTTAGAATGTAAACTTTTTGAAAAATATCAGAAGACTGTGCCTTTTACACATATTCCTTAAGTTTAAGAAATACATTTATAATCCTTATATATGTATAATCTACCCATTAAAAACCAGCATTTCCTAAAGAAGAGGGAAAAGATAAATTTAACATCTATTACTAAACAAAGTAAATGCCAAGAAGATGAATATTCTAAAAAGGTCAGGGTATATTTTTAAGATAAAATCTGAAATTAAATCTGAAATCTGAGATCTAGTGGTTCATGCTTGTAATTCTAGCTACTCAGGAGGCTGAGATCTGAAGGGTCTCAGTTCAAAGCTAGCCCAGACAAAAAAGTCTACAAGACTCCAACTACAATTAACCAGCAAAAAGCCAAGATGTATGGATGAAGTAGTAGAGTACCAGCCCTGAGCAAGAGAGCTTGAGACTCTAAGTGCAAGCCTCACTACCAACACACACACACACACACACACACACAATTTTTTTTTAAAAGTTGGTTTTAAAATTTATTCCTGATACGTAGTCCAGCTTTTCTATTAAGACAATATGCATTTCTCTTAATTGAGGACCATTTTTAAAACGAAAAATAATACTTAAACAGAACCAAATGAGTACCTCTAGAAAATACATAAAAGCTTTATAAACATTCTGGGCACCACCAAGTGGTGGAACTGTATATTTCATTGCTTAAGAAAGTAGCATACACCAACCAATTTGGAATATCATGATTGGTATTTTAGCTAACAAGTAATTCCTCCTATTTCTTGACATTTTAAAATAAGCCCTATACAGATATTTCAATCTGAACGTTCTCAGATTTCTTCTGCAAGTACTTGGATCATGTTTCCACAAGGCTAAAGGAAGGTCAGAAACTTTTAGTGGTGGGAAAGACACTTGTACTTTCCCACCCAGTACTTGAATTATTGTGAGGATATCTATTACATCATGATCGGATATATCCAAATATCCGTAAGAACAGGAAATACCTTCAGAGAGTCTAATAACACAGTAACAACATCATTATGTCTCTCTATAATAGAATGGCATTCCAAGTCTTAGAAAACCAAAAAAATATGGTTTAAACCTAATAAAGGCAATTATTTTTCTATATCATCATGTGCATCAGTATTATAAGAATGTATTCAGTGGTAAGGCAGAGGCAGCATTATTAGAAGAGGGCATAATGTTTTCTTTCTTTACACATAGGGTAAAAATGTTTTATTTTTCAAAAATGACTTTAAATTTATCTAATGCCTTCAAGTAGATTGGCCATATTTGTCAAAAATAAAATGTATCAATTTAAAATATTCATCTTAAGAATAAAAATAATTTTACATAATTTTGCTTTTCAATAAAATCTCAATAAATAAAAGCACAATTTTAATTTTTGCTTATTAAAAGGTATAAATATTAATAACAATGTCCAGTATTACTATTGTTTTCTAGAAACATTTTTTACCCCAAATACATAAAAATACATTTCTAGCAAGCAAAAAAATGGTATACTCACGCTAGACAGCTCTTTGAATATTTTTTCCAAAGAGAAATACTCCATGAATGTAGCAAAGCCTTCATTTAGCCACAGATCATTCCACCATTGCATTGTTACCAGATTACCAAACCACTGTGGGAAAAATATACTATTAACAAACATGATATTTACATTTTAGGAACTCTCCAATAATTAAATAAATTGTCAGATTAACTGCCTATAATTAAAGTATCTGAAAAGCATACCAGTGTTACAGTTTAAGCCAACTTTTTAAATTAATTACTTAGCAAAACTTATGCCAATTTACATTAAAAGTAGATAAAAACTCTAATGGCTTAATTAAATGGAAAAATAAACAAGAGTCAACCTATAAACAGCTATATTGGGAAATAATTGTATTTGCTACCTCCTAATAGTGAGACTTTCTAGAGAATGAAATTCTTCTTTTGTTTTTTGTCGGTCGGTCGTGGGGCTTGGACTCTGGGTTTGGGCGCTGTCCCTCAGCTTCTTCAGCTCAAGGCAAGCACTCTACCACTTGAACCACAGTGCCACTTCCAGTTTTCTGATGGTTTATTGGAAATAAGAGTTTCACGGATTTTCCTGCCCGGGCTGGCTTTGAACTGTGATCCTCAGATCTCAGCTTCCTCCCGTAGCTACAATTACAGGCGTGAGCCACCAGCGCCCCAGCAATAATGAAATTCTTTGATCTTCTAATATCAGGTAATATTATTTTCTATTATATATACAAACATATATGATAACTAAGGAAATTTATATGTGAGATAATTCTCCTAAAGTCCAAAGGCCCATATTTTCTGTTTTCCTCTAAGTTGCCCAAGTTTGAGACACTCATTTAATGACTCAAACCAAAATCCAATCCAATTCAATTTCTTAAGAAAGCTGACATACATAGATACACAGAAACAGACACACAGACACACAGACATACACACACCACATACACACATGAAATCAGAAAGATTTTTTTAAAGCTTTTTTCTATGAAAACGCTTCAGAAAAAAAAGATTTCTCCTCCCAGTTTTCACTGTATTTGATTCCGGAGCCCTGCAACTTGTATATATATTTTTCTAATTTGGGCAGGGGAAGGGAAATAACAAAATGCTGAAACAAGGACACAGGTTGACTCATCGTAGCAATGAGATGTACAAGACACTATGTTGAAAATGAACTTTACAACTTGGGGGGGGAGGGAGGAGTTGAGGAGGTGGGAGGGAAGGGATGACAGGGGAAAAGCAAAGGAAGGGGCAACAATGCTGAATAGGAAATGCACTCATTACCTAACTCATGCAACTGTGACCCCTCTGAACAGTATCTTTACAATAATATATATTATATATAAGACTTCTCCTAAATTATGTACTTCAAAAATCTTCAACTCAAAAATAGCAAAAGTTGGAACAAAATATTGTTTGAAGCTGGCACTTGTGGCTTAGGCCTATTAATCAACCTACTGAGGATGCTGAGATCTGAGGAATGAAGTTTGTAGTCAGCCTGGGCAATAAAGTCCATGAAGATTCGTATCTCTAATAAATCACCTAGAGCTCAAGAAGTGCTACTTCTTGACACAAAAAAAGGTCAAAGATAGGATCCAGGCCTTGAGATCAAGTCCCAGAATGGGCTCACAAAAAACTGTTTTTTGAGAATTCTTTTCTAAGATGTTATCTTAAAACCTGTTTTACAATATGGTTTATAAGTCCTAAAGAAAAAAATCAGAGAAATACTGTATGTGATGGTGGAAAGTCCCAGAAATAGCAAACTCAGAGGAGATTCCATAAAATAAAATAACCCACTTATAAGAGTAAGCACCATTTTATATGCCAGCTTGTTGAGAAATGCTCACAAGGGAGGATCTGATACATTGTGTTTGAGGCAGAGAGTAGGCTGACCAAAGAACTTCCTTTCTTCCTTCGTAACTGCTCCTTTGTGACATTCCAAACCATACCCAACACTAATAAGCACCTTACATCTAGATAAGGTACAACTAGCACCTCCCAACAGGAACAAGGTGTTGAGAAGAAGATCTGATATAGAGAGATCTCGTTTAATTTTCTTTCTTTTACTCTATGTCATACAGAGAAAAGCTCAGCCTTCACTGAGGACATTTTCTCTCATCCAAATAAAGAACCCAATTCTAGTAGAAGATGAAAGAATAAATCTAGACCTAATACCTATGGTTTAAGAGTTGAAAGCCAAGTCTGCTGTGACATAATGTAGTCCCAGAACTAAGGAAACCCAGGTAAGAGTATCATGGGTCAAGGTTAGTGGGCAAGGCCTCATCCCAAAGCAAGCACACACATAAAGTTATCAGAAGACAGTATAAAACTTAGGGGAAAAGTTCCTTCACTACAAAGTTATTCTGAGCGGCTAGCATTTATCAGAGATGAAACAACTCTGTATTTATTATTAGAAGAAAGCTAGCATGAAGATTCTTTAAGTCCCAATGCTGCCACATTTAATAGCCATGTTATTTTTAACAAATTATTTTATCTAAGCCTAGATTCAGTTTCCATGCCAGTAAAATGGGATTATTATTCACTTTAGAGTACTGATGAGATACTTGATGTGAAAAATATTTAAACTATAATATCCTATACAAACAGACCATATTTTCATCTGGAAGTTTTGTCTTCAAAAAGCATCTTTTTTTCTTATTAGGAAAGAAAGTCATACTAAAAAAGGAACTGAGTGATAACATCTAAATACAATCTATAACTCTAGGACATAAAGTTGCCCAGAAGTATGAGTGTAACAATGTTGTCAATTAATACCTGATGTGCCAGCTCATGAGCAATGATTTTAGTAACAAGTTTTCTGTCTGCCACTGATGAAGTACTATTGTCATACAGAAGAGTCTCTTCTCGGAATGTGAGCAAACCCCAATTTTCCATTGCTCCTGCTTCAAAGTCAGGAATGGCCACCAAATCTGGATACAACAGGAAAGAAGTGGATCAACTTCTCATCAAAGGAAATCCCTCATGGAATCAAAATGTTTTACACATCAGGCATTCTACTTAATAAATGGAGTCTTCCATGCTTTATCTGTCAGCTGAGAATACTAGACAGACCTCTTTAGGGTAACTGTTCCTTACTATATGAAAAAAAATTTCTTCAAATTGAACTTCATAGCAGTTTAAGTAGAACCAAATAGAGCCAAGTTTCAGGGCCAATCCACATTGAATAGTACTTAAATCATTTTACTTTCCTGAGCTTCCTTTACATGTTTTTAGTTAGTTAAATCAGGAACTTCTTAGGAGTTAGGGTTATTTAAAGTTCCAACTAAGCTCTCAGCAAATTTCCCCTCATATATAGTACTTTTGTGATAGCCCCTAAAACTTGTAAAGATTTTAGTAATCAGACTCAGATCCACTTATGGAATCTGAATAATCTAAAAAATTATAAACATTGTTTTAAACATTAACAAACTCTCTTGATTTTTCTTTTAAACACTTTCCACAAAATATTTTTAAGACATCACATCTCCATTACAATTACAATAGAAACCAAGGACACTGTTTGGTTCTTACCCAACTTCTTAAGTGGGTATTGAATTTCAAAGTAGTCATGAAAAAACTGAAGAAGTTTCACAGCTGTTTCCAAGGCATGATGAACTTCACCAATCTTTTCTGGTACAACATATATAGAAACCTAAAGGAAAGATCATTTAAGGACAGGTACAATTAAAATGCCATCATATTCACAAAAGCACTTTCAGGACTCAAATATCTAGGAAATGCATGGTGATTTTTTTTTTTCAGGACAAAACTCTTGCTTATAGTTTTTTATATGCCATAATGTTTCACAAATCCTTTCCACCCATAAATTTCAAAACAAAAACAATAAAAAAGTACTAATTCCTTTCGTTTTCTTAAAGCTACCACGATATCTCAAATTAACTAATTACTGTAATTTATAAGTATCTTCCCATCTAATTTTGTGATAGGATTATTTTCCCCTTATATGCAGTTGCTCTTACTTAGGAATTAGGGAGATGGTGAGTTATTTGAAAGCCAACACTGAAGTTTAACCCTTGCAGCACCTATCAGAGTGACTAGCATCTAGTAGGCACTAGTGTAGAATCTAAAGTCAATATATGGGGCAGAATGTGTACAATTATAAAACTGTATTGGAGAAGAACTGATTATAGGTCAACACTATTTTTTTTAGCAAGTATGGCCTACTAGCTTTTCTTACAGGGCTGGAAAAAAGTTTGTTTATATAAGTTGTTGGTTTATTTTTATGGATCAAGTTCTAGTTTAAGAAAATCATGTAGTGAAAGGCTCACACTACAAGTGCCACACAGTAACTAAAACCAGCTGAGGGAGCAACAGCTTTATGACTGCTATCATCCACACACTCCAGGGTACATGCTAAGGGAAGAATCATCCCCATTACTTAAATAGGGCAATATTCTTTCCCTCTTTTTCAGTTTAACTGCATAAGGCCGATAAATAATATAGAACTATAAACAAAACTGAAATTTGATCAAAGGATTCATCTATCCCTATTTCTGGAATATAATAATTAAAATAAAGGTAGTTTGTACTTTTGTACTTGTTTTTCTTTTCTTCAAAGAACATGTCCTTTAAGTTCTCACCACCTGGTCCTTATGCTTATTATATGGCTTATTCTAAAATAACATGAGCAGTAAAAAGTAAACAAAGATGAGAGAAAAAGAGGGATGGTTAGAGGAAGGGGAAGAATTGTTTTTCCTTCTATATCACCAGTATGTGAAAATATTATTAGATTTCTAGTGAAATTAAAAATCCATTCAAATAATCATTTACAGATAAGTATTGGCAGGTACAGATAGGTAGGAAGAAAAACAGAGAAGACTTATTTGAAGAAATGGTCAACTCTGACAAGATGTGGAAAAACTAGATCCTTAAGTTAAATGATCACATTCTTTCTCTGCTGCTCGGTCAGGAATCCTTTTCTCTCCCTCTCCCCACACTCTCTTTCTCTCCTTCCTTTTCTTTTTTCCTTTTCTCTCTCCCTCTTTTTTCTTATGGGAGAGATTGGACTCATAGCCTCACTCATGCTAAGTGTAGGCTATAACATTTAACTAAACCCTAGTTTCCATAATTTGCTTTCTTAAAGAGGATTCATCTAATTTACAACATATCTAACATAGTAGCCACGGGCCACATAAACACTACTCAACACTTGAAATGTGGCTAATGACCTCACGTAACTGAATTTTAAATTATAACTAACTTAAACCTAAATAGTTGCAAAAGACATGTGATCTTGTATTGTAAATACTGTTCTAGAAATTTTAGCATACAAATGTTGCCTGACCAGAATTTCCTTTTAAAATTAGAAACTTGAAAATTATTGGCTTTCAGATATTAAATGAATAACATTGATAACAGTTAATGAGGAGTAGCATTTCTGCTATAATATGTCAGAATATGATCTAAAAGCTTGATTTTCTTTGCAAGGCAATGACCAGGAATTATTCACGCAAAAAAGACTTTCAGTATCTTGTGAAACAGGCTCTGAGATAGTTACCAGGGTTCCATTCACATCCTGACTCAGGTTCTTCATCTCCCCCACAATGAAAGCAATCAGGTAAGTACTCATCTTCACACTCTCACAAAATTCATCCTGAACAAGTCCATTTTCCATATGAACTGATGATTTCTACATACAAAAGAGAAAAGACCACAGTTTCACAACTGCAGGAATAAATGACAATGTCAAATACATTGAGAAACTAGAACTTCATATTGGAAATAAGTGGCATATTTTACTCCCTCATCACAAGTTTTGAAGAGAGGATAGGTCTAAAGTTTCCATTTGTTTCTAGCATATTTCATCATGAGGGCACAATGGATACAGTGGAAATCTTTGAGAGTTTGGCCCCAATGTGACCTTAAATAAATGTGAGCCATAGACATAAAATTCTACAAAGCCCCAATACTCTCCTATGATGTAGGAAAGTCCCACTTTAAGGAGATATATGCCTGGATATTCCTTCAAATTATCTGAAAATGCTTCACAAAGAACCATTTGAGTATCCCTAAGAAAGCTTGGTGAGGTCAAAAGTGGTATGTCACTAGCTAAGTCTGCAGTAGATACAAGATAAAGGAATGGTGGCAACTTGCAGTATTTTCCGACCATGAGTATGTGTTGGGACACTAGGCAGGCAGGTGTTCACCTCTTTTAGAGAACAATTGAAGTATACTGCGGGATTATAGAAGAATGGAGCTTTGGGAGAATTGTCCTAGCTAAGAAGGTATTACGTTGTCTGCTTTCTCTTTGGGCTGACTCCAAGACATAGAGGGTTTGGTTGCTCCCCCCTCCCCTCACTACATGAGTTATGGGTTCAGGAGGCTCCCATCTTGCTGCACATGTCATTCAGGGGTCTGAGACAAAAAAAGGAACTCTTAGTTCTGTTAGGATGAAAACTGCTCTGTTTGGTGACACCCCCACTGCCTCCTATGGAGAGTTAACACTCAAGAAAGAGGCTTCTGTTCCTGTTCTCAACCTACAAATTATAAGAATGTAAGTTTTTCATTTACTACAATAACACAAACAAGATTCTGTTGTATAACACTCTTTAAAATAAGGAAATCATTACATTTCAGAAAATATCACTCTAGAGTTGGACTAATTCATAGTATTAGTATCGGCAGAGCTTTAGTAGTACATAGGACTCACTTCATACTTCCTATCAATACTTTCCCAGTCCAGGTCTCTGTCTTTTCTTAAGTTCTTCCCTCAGGCTGACTTCCCAATTAATCCCAGTTAACACCGTTATTTAATGCTGACTCAAGTATTTTAAAGAAATAATTCATTTACATGATTCTAGTTATTCTTAGTAGATGCCTGGTTTAAAATTTTTTCAGCTGTTCTTACAGAAAGAGAGCCAACTCAAAGATTATACCTTCGAAGAAAAGAACAGTACCTTAGGCATATTTGATAAAGCAGTGTATTGTTCTTCCCTTACAATCCTGATGATAAATGTGGCCTTAAATGCTGGTTCATCAAAACAAGGAAAAGCAGATCTTGCTGCTAGGGGTTCAAACTGAGTTGCTGCAAAGTACCTATAACAAATGCAAATACAATCCAATAGTTAATGAACATCTTCTATTCAAGGCACCCTGCCAAGTACTAGAGACATTAAGATAAATACATAAAATCTCAGTGATTAAAGGATCCACAACTGGCTTGAAGGCAAAGGCTTACAGAAAGGAAAGAAACATACGTGAGGCTGCAAATAATATCCTAATCATGAAAACAAAGTGTGCATGAAGGACAGGAAATAAATTCTGACTAGAAGTTGATGACACTAAGTGAATTGGTACACAGTGTAAAAACGGTCTTAAAACCTGAGGAGTGGGCTGGGAAGGTGGCTCAGTGGTAGAGCGCTTGCCTTGCATGCCAGAGGCCCTGGGTTCGATTCCTCAGCACCACATAAGCAAAAAGAAAAAAGCCAGAAGTGGCGCTGTGGCTCAAGTGGTAGAGCGCTAGCCTTGAGCTGAAGAGCTGAGGGACAGCGCCCAGGCCCAGAGTTCAGGCCCCACGACTGGACCCAAAAAAAAAAAAAAAAAACCTGAGGAGTGTTTGAAAAGGTAGAGAAAGAAAGAGTGCCCTCCAGAAAGGGTGGGCAGCACAAGCGAGTAGTATATGTCTAGGCACTTTGGTGGCTGTAGAGTATGGATTTGAAATCACAAAAGTAGGATACGGCTGGCCAGTGATATCTTAAATAGATTTCTAGAAGATCAGTAAGAAAGGTTTTCATTAATTGCTGTTAATCATGTGCACACTGGCTAACCCTTAAATCTACAACCTATACATTTGCGAAGACTGAAAAAAAATCCCATTTTCCTATAATATTCTCTTCTCCTTAAAGATGCTTAGGAAGAAAAGTATAAAAAGAACAAATGAAAAAAAATGTGTTTTTTTCCCATTAATTTTTCCCATTAAAGTAGAGAGCAAAAGCAAATCTCCACATGAGAGATCATTCCACACATAGCCATAGAGTAGTTAGGGCAAGTACAGCTTGCTGATACTGAAACTCATAGTTCAGGGACCACGTAATGTTGTATACCTATAAAAACCACTTTAGATGTGTCAGATTTTCCTATTTAGTGTTTAGGTTTGGCTGTTAGATGACAAATAGAAAAGAAAATGTGTAAGATTGAGGTCTGAAGACTTCAACTCTACAATTTACCAGTCATAGGACTTTGGGCAAACCTGTGACCTTGATCTTATTTTCCTTATTTTTATGTTGTGATTTTTGATAGGCTTGCATACCCAAAACCAAGATTTTAGTTAAAATTTAGTTAAAATCTACTTGTATACCAAATAGATACCCTGATAGAGATTTTACTATACATGCTGGATAACTTCAAGTCTTCTACACTTGAAATTACTATACGTTTGTTCTGGTAAGGATGAGCCCAAAAATATTTCTATTAAGTAAATAATAAGGTAGCAAGCAATATACATACAACAATTTAAACCTATTATATTTCTATCATTCCATATTTTACCCCTTCCCCAATATTCTACTGTAGTTAAACAGAATAAAACCAAGATATGAAATTTGATCATGTCCTATTATTCATACAAAAAGAATCTATTTAGGGATAATGTAACAAAATTAACAATTTTATGTAATAATATAAAAAATTATTGTTAAAAGAAATTCAGTATCTAGTTGTCAACTCTTTAAGAAGGCTTTTTCTTAATACTTAAGAGTCTGTCTAATCTAGGCTGAATATCTGACACCTATTATTTTATATTCGATTCTATATTTGCTTTCAAATTATAATATGACATAACTGTGAAAGGGGTTTGGAGAGAAGGAGAAAAGAAGAGGGTAACAGGGGGCTGAATACTATACAAGTTGTGTATGTATATGTACACGTGCATAAAAATAGCACAATAAAACACTTTAAAAACTATTAAAAATAATCCAGGCACTGATGGCTCATGCTTGCAATCCTAGCTCCTCAGGAGGTTAAGATCTAAGGATCCTGGTTCAAAGCCAGCTGAGGTAGAAAAATCCTTGAAACTCATCTCCAATCAATCACCAGAAAGCTGGAAGTGGAGCTGTGGCTCAAGTGATGGAGTGCTAGCCTTGAGCACAAAAGCTCAGGGACAGTGCCCAGGCCCTGAGTTCAAGCCCCACAACCAACAAAAGAAAGGGTATCAAGAGTGAATGTTATGAATGGATGAATTTGATCAGAGTATACTGTGTGCATCTTAAAAAATATAACAATGAAATTTCTGTACAATTGGTTTTCTAACAAAAATGGTTTTTTTGGAGTTTTTTATTTTTAAAATTTTATTGTAAAGGTCATGTACAGAAGGGATACAGTTAGGTATAAGTCAGGTAATGAGTACATTTCTTTTTAGTTTCAGCACCTTCTCCTCCAGAAGTGCTCAAGCCAATTATGAATTTGCTGGGGGTCAGGTGAGAGAATGAGCACTGGAATAACAATGTACAGAGAAAAGAAATATAAATTAGAGAAGCAGGACATCATGGTGATTATGTGGCTTCTGCAGTTAAAACGACCTTGGATTTGAGTTGCTCATGATATAATATTAGTAGCTACTTCTTCTTGAGTTAGATGGGGAAAATTATTATGCATAACAAATGCTTTAAGTAGTTTCTAACATTTTGTTCCCAGTAAACTGGCAACTATTAGCCTCAGACTTTAGGCCAATGGACATGAAGTTCAGTATAGCAGACAATGGCATAAGAAAAACCAGAAGCTTGATAACTAAAGATCCTGACTGAAATTGTGTTAGAAATAAAGAAATGCTAAGGATTGTAAACCAAAGGCCAACACAGTCATCTGTCCTTACAGAAACAAGTACAAAAGCAAGAATATACATATGCTAGGTGCAGTGGTTCAAACCTACAATCCTAACTACTCAGGAAACTGATAGCAGGAGAATTGTGGTTCAAGGCTAGGTTAGTCTGCAAGACTCCTACTCAACCAGTAATAACTGGGCAATAGTGGTTCAAGCCTGTCATTCTAGCTATGACCCCATTAAAAATTATAAAAGTAGGTGGCTGGGAAGGTGGCTCAATGGTAGAGTGCTTGCCCTGCATGCATGAGGCCCTGGGTTTGATTCCTCAGTACCCCATAAGCAGAAAAAGCCAGAAGTGGTGTTGTGCTCAAGTGGTAGAGCACTAGCCTTGAGCTGAAGATCTGAGGGACAGTGTCCAGGCCTAGACTGGGTTCAGGACCCACGACCGACAAAAAAAAAAAAAAAAAATTATAAAAGCAAAAAGGACTGCGAGAGAGCTGGAGCCATGACTCAAATGGTAGAGTACCTGCCTAGTAAGTATGAGACACTGAATCCAAACTCAGTCATGTCAAATAATGATAATAATAGTAATACACATAGAAATAGGTCAGTAGCAGTGCAGAAAATGGGTAAAATCTCCTTACTATTGTGCATAGACATTTTTCAGTGTCAGTGTAAAGTGTACAATATGAAATCCCCTAATTACTTTATCTTATGGTTTAAATCTTTATTCTAATTGTACTGCAGAAAGGAACAGTATAAAAACTTATCTAATGGGAATACACAAAATTTCAAGTAAGACAATAACAAAAAATTACTAGAATTAAGAATTGCTTAGAAAGAATAGTTTTCAGACATCTTAAAAGGTATAATTATAATCTTCTCAACTTTCATCCTCTACCAATATATACAATAGTGTGAGGCCTTTACTTTATTCTAGCAGTCAGATAAATAAACATATTCTGCTTGTAATAATTTCACAAACTAACCTAAGGCTTTAATATATCATTTGTAATACTCTATTTCTTAACTTTGAGGAATAATATTCCATTTTTCTAGCATGTCCCACAACTCAATCTAGCTCATAGTAAGAGAGTAAGCATGTGGCTAGGCCAAAAGTCACTTTACTCTCATATACAACATCCATTATTGACTAGTACCAGGTTCAAGGACTGGGGGCAATATCATCTGATTGGATGAGATGGCTAAATAGATGATTTAAAGGTCTGTTGGTACAAAGTGACTATTTTCATGTATATTCTGTATTTCTAGGATGATGGGAATTATAGTAAAAGGACTAAAGATAAGAACTCCTAGGCTGTGGCTGCAATCTCAAATGTGTGCTCAATTTCAGATACCATGCAAGAATTGAAATACAGAGACATTTATCATATTATAAATATATATAAGTATGTTATAAAAAGAAAGTATAAAAACTACTTTAGATATTCTTACAAAGTAGCAGTAAAATATACTAAAATATGACCAGCCTTTTCAAGTTCAAGTCACAAGTATAAAACTATCAAACTTATATAAAAATAGACGTACAATTTAATACTACAAGATAGGAAATTATAGCAGCTTTTGATGTTTCTCCATCTCCTTTAGAAGGTAAGACTTTATACACAAGCAGCCCATTTAGCACTGCAGTGCTTTTTGATAGAAGTAGTGGGGAAAAATTTCACAAAAGTTAGAAAAGTCCATTCTATAGCTAATTAGATATGCATCTCAGAAAAATACATTGACTTGTTGTATTTACTCCAGGCTTGCTCTATTTCTAAAAAATATGATTTTATTTCTTTCAATGGATTTTAAAATTTAAAAAGTCTCTGAAATAATAAAAACAACAACAAACTGCCATGTGACTAGAACCATAGATTTTACTTTGTCTCTTTCTCCACTTAAAAAGAAGCAGTTTGGGCCTGGGAAGGTGGCTCAGTGGTAGAGTGCTTGCCTTGCATGCATGAGGCCCTGAGTTTGATTCCTCGGCACCACATAAGCCAAAAAGAAAAAAAAAAGCCAGAAGTGGCGCTGTGGCTCAAGTGGTAGAGTGCTAGCCTGGAGCTGAAGAGCTAAGGGACAGCGTCCAGGACCAGAGTTCAGGCCCCAAAAAAAAAAAAAAAAAAAAAGAAGCAGTTTCTTTAAATAGATTTAAAATATTCTTTCCTAAGTATTTCTCTCTTTTCTTCTTCCTTCTCTAGTGGTTTTCCTCCTCTCCTCTCTTCTCTCTCTTCTTTTAGAGTTCCTGGAGATGGAACTTAGGGACCTGTACTCACAGGAGAGGAATACTCTAATACACTCACAGTTTCCTATATTTGTCTTAATACATTTAGCATACATTAAACAAATGGTGAATGTCAGTAATTCACATACTGATTTATACACTATGATCAGAAAGAATGCTCCAATTGCATAAAGCAGATGTACACAGACCTTTTTCAATAAAAGGTTGGATACTATCACAATTTACAAACAACTTATACATATTGTGCAGTGCATCTTTCTAGAAATTCCAGCTACATGTTATGAATACTATTATTAATGTACAAAGTATGTGTGCTGAATACTTTTAAGTTTTATTTCACTTTTGGGGGGCTTGGACTCTTTCAAAGTAGCCATGAGAAATTAAATAATCAGACTTTTTTTTAAGTGAACCAGTAAAGATTAAGGATTTAAAAATGATATATGCAAGCATTCCACTCTGATGCCCTCTTTCAGTCTCATTAAACACCTTCTAAAAGTTCTACACTTTAGGTAAGTAGGTTTTAAAGAATAATCAATGCCTATTACTAATAAAAATTCCAAAGAATGATAGAAAATAGATTCATCTCATAAAATATGGAAAGCTCAAGATAACTTGAGTTTTTGTAATAAAGAATATAACTCATAGAATCTTCATCTATTTCCTTCCCCCAGAAGAACCTACTTCTACTTCACCATACAAGCCCTAAGTTCTGCCTAAGGAAAGCATTATAGTTTTCCAAAATATCATTTTTCACATAACTTTCTAAACTTAAAAAGATGCATTGAAGCCGGGCGCCAATGGCTCACGCCTGTAATCCTAGCTACTCAGGAGGCTGAGATCTGAGGATCGCGGTTCAAAGCCAGCCTGGGCAGGAAAGTCTGTGAGACTCTTATCTCCAATAAAAACCACTAGAAAACCAGAAGTGGCGCACTGGCTTAAGCGGTAGAGCGCTTGCCTTGAGCTGAAGAGCCCAGGGACAGCACCCAAGCCCAGAGTTCAAGCCCCACAACCGACCAAAAAAAAAAAAAAAAAGATGCATTGAACGTCTCTGGTATGAACAAAGATATACATATCAAGCCGGGCGCTGGTGGCTCACGCCTGTAATCCTAGCTACTCAGGAGGCTGAGATCTGAGGATGGTGGTTCAAAGCCAGCCCAGGCAAGAAAGACCGTGAGACTCTTATCTCCAATAAACCACCAGAAAACCGGAAGTGGTGCTACTGTAGCTCAAGTGGTAGAGCACTCGCCTTGAGCTGAAGAGCTGAGGGACAGCGCCCAGGCCCAGAGTTCAAGCCCCACGACCGACAAAAAAAAAAAAAAAGAGATACATATCAAAAAAAAGTCATCAGTCAGCATCAAACAAGAATCACTGAAGAGATCTACATACTTTTTCTCATTACTGTCATCTTTGTAGGTGATGCCATAAAACCCATAGTAAGAACTAGAGATATTTGCTGAATACTCGATCTTCAGGGTATAATTATGCCCTGCTAGAAGGGCTTCAGAAGAAACAATGGCGATCTGTTCATGATACGGATATTCCAGAAGTTCGACTTGTTTTTCTTGGTTTGAAACTGCTGACATGAAAGTCACTCTTGAAATATTATGTCCTGTGCTATGAAGAATGACATTCCAGGTGGCCTGAAGAGCCTGAAGTGAAATTGTCACAGAACCCTTGAATGTCATTGAGGTTAGGTTTGGGTGCAGGTTAAGTTCATAACGTTGTGGCATAACGGCAGTAGGAAGTCTAATTTGTGCCCATGGAAACAATTTCCCATTTGTTGCAAGTGGCTGAATGAGTCCAATTGATTGGTTTTTTTTATGGCAGCCTTCTTTGGTAAAAGTACATCTAGGCAGCAGATAAATCACCATGATCACAGAGACGGCAACTACAATGACAAAAGCACAGACCACCAAGGTCCTGGTAGAGGGTACAGAACAAGCCCCATCTGTATTCTGCCTGTAGCCGGCTGCACTGTTCCGAAGGCCTGAGCTTCTGTTCATGAAGGACATGCCCAGCAGTTTTGCAGATGACTCGTAATCCTCTTCATCTTCATCCATCTCATGTTCACCAAGACCTCTCACCAGCAGTCGTGAACCCCTTGGCTCATATTCCACCTCATCAGGCTCTAGAGGATGTAAACAAGGCTCTTTGGCTAAATCCACCACATCTGGTTCTTCCTCAAACATGCTGTTTTCAATCATGTTCCTGGGGAGCTGAAGTCGATCTAAAATATCAGAAAGGATAAAGTTCAGAGTTACAGGGAAATACAATAACACGACATCTTCTGGAAAGATCAAATTCAATCTAAGACTTATTAAAATTGTAAAGTCTAAAAATTTTAAGATTCTGTAAATCACATGACTTACAGTCCCATCTCAGAGCTACAAAATTAAAGAACATACCTTATCTTGGGGTTCATTTCGTCTAACATCAACTTGTCTGATCATTTCTGCTTGACTCAGACATATACTAGTTATTGCAAATAAGGGAAACCATGGAACCTATGTTTCGTTGGGCCTGGCTTACTTCACTTAATATAATTTTTTCCAAGTCTTTCCATTTCCTAACAAATGGGGCAATGTCATTCTTTCTGATGGATAAGGATTCAAATTGTTTTTCTTTCTTGCTATTGTTTCTAACATACATATAAGATGATTTCTTTGTTGTATTGTATGTCCCTCCCCCACGGTATAACCTCGGTTTTTACTATATTTGATATTGGTATAATTTGTTGCTGGGAAGGGAAAAAACAAATTGTTTAAATAGGGATACAGGTGGACCCATTGCAATAATGAGATGTACAAGCCGTTATGTTGAAAAACAAACTTCACAACTTTGGCTGGGGGGGGGGGGGGGGGGGAGATGGGAGGGCAGGGATGGTAAGGGGAAACAAAGGAGGAGGGAACAATGCTTGATAAGAAATGTACTCATTACCTTGCTCACATAATTGTAAGCCCTCTACGGTATTTTCACAATAAAAAAAAAATTAATAAAAAAGATACTTAGATTCTTGATTCAACCATTAAAAACTCAAGCAAGAATAAAAGTAGATATAGAACAGTCATGAAATAAAAAGCTAAACAAACCAAGTAATAGCAAAAAAAAAAAAAAAAAAAAGAAGAAGAAGAAGAAAAAGACAGCTGAGATTACCTACCTACTAACTTCCTTAATGTACTCTTAATCAACAATCTAGGCTTTAAACGACTTGTGTTTTAGTCTGCCTGCAGCTGAGTCTGACCCCACAGACAAAGAAGTAGGATCAAATGGAATGTAGTCCAGGTCTCTTGTATTTGGGCCCTTGGACCTCAGTATTCATATGCTAAAGGCCTCAAACCAGGTTCCAGAGGCTTTGTGGGAAAAAGTGACCCAGTGACTCCGTGGTCACTGAGTCACATTCTCCCTAGGGACTACTACACACTTGTTTGCTTGTTACTAAGCTCAAGTGGCAGCAAAACAAGAAGATAGACTTGTCCCATAGCAAACTGGAAACAGCAAATTATAAGAAAATTATAAGCAAAATTATAAGCAAATTATAAGAAAACTTTATTAAAAAAAAGAAAACTTCCTAAGCAAGAATTAAAAAAAAACAATAAAACAAAAACTCTACACAAAAACTCTACAAAAACTTGCAATCCAACATGTTTTCCATGCTTTTACAGCATTCAAAAGTACAACATACTTCTATCTATAACAACTAAACTATATCCCACCAGTATTAGTGAATCTTGGATGAATAAGTAATGAGAGCTTTGACAAACTACAAAGAATTGCCCCTCCAATTTCTATAAGTCAATGAGAAAAACACTCTCAAAAGGATAAATAATTCCACATATATATATATATATATATATATATATCAACAACTCTACTATTACATTATTTAATATTCTTTGTTTAAACACATTTGAAACCACTACTAACCTTTCCCTACAAGGTACTTTTATCCATATCTAACTAATTTCTAACCTTCACAATAAATTACATAAAGTAGTAAATATTCTATTGCAGGCATGTAGGAACAATAACAAAACAAACAAACAGAAATGGGTTTGTTTTTATAGTCATACAGCTATGCATAGACTTTTTTTTTCTGTGCACAGACATTTAACTGACTTCAGAGCCCAGAAATGAAGCACTGACACATACCAGGGTGAAGTGTATATGATGACCAGAAGCAACCTCAGTACACTAAAGTTCCTAAAAAAGCAGACTTTCATGACCTCTTCCTAAGTATGAACTTTAATAAAACCCTCAGATGATTTATATGTAGCCAAGTCTGAAAGTGTTGATGCCATATGGTGTGATCCTAGTAACAGCCATCACAGTACACCTGGGCATGCTCTGGCATCCCACACTGTTTATGACTCTGACAGGCCAGGCTGCTATTACCTGCTATCCTCCTTTGATCCTCCTGCTTGTATGCCCTCACTTCTCCTTTCCAGCTTAGGGTACATGGTGAGCATCTATTATTCCATGGCCTGGCTTAAAAACTCAATAAAATTTCTAATCATTTTCTAGATGTAGGTTTAGCAAGCAGCTAGCTATCCATTTCCTGTTAATGGTCTGGAGATAGAAGACCAGTTACAACATCCTACTTCTAAAAACTTAATTTTCTGAGCCTCCTATAGTGCCCCACTTTCTAGCTTATATATATGTATGTTTACTTGAGTTTTGGCAGGCATACACTTCATTATTAGAAAATATTTGAATTTAAAAAAAAGTTCTTAAACTCTCAATAAATTCTTATAAGGGGTAGGAAATCTCTGTGGTAGTGAGTACTAGATAATTGTTTAATTTTAAACCTTTCAAGATTTTTTCTTGTTTTTTTTTTTTATGGTTGGTTGGTTTGTTGTTATTGCTATCCTATAGAAAAAGGCTGTTAGGCATTGTGCTTTCTTCTGTGCTAGACCTGGTGTAGACAACAATATGGACTACCTGGATTTATTCCACGTAATATACTTCTACCCAAATCTTGGTAGAGTGTCCGCCCTAATCCTTAGAACATTCTCATGTCTCACATTCCCTTAGAGCTCTATTTTTGAATTTGAGTCTTCATCCAAGTCCTACATCAAGCCAAGAAGTACTCTATACTCAGACCATTTACTATCTCCTGTCTTCACTTCCTTCTTACATCCTCTGAGCTCATCTGGACAAAATCCAGATAACTTACCTTCATTATTCAATACCCCATCAGATTAACTCTTATGTAGAATTTTAATCTTTCAGTAATGAAGCACATCAACCCATCTGCCATATTTTATTGAACAATGTGAGAATCATACTGTTTTGGTGTGTACAGTTATCTCAAGCCAAACATATAACACCAGGCAAAAGTCACTTTTATTACAGGTAGCTTATGAATGCTATACTTTATGTCTACTTTTTTTTTTCTAGTTGCAGGGCTTGAACTCTGGGTTCTTGCTCTCTTCAGCTCAAGGCTAGAGCTCTACCTCCTTGAGCCACAGCGCCACCTCTGGTTTTCTGATGGTTAGTGTGAGATAAGAGACTCACGGATTTTCTTGCCCCAGCTGGCTTTAAACCTAGATCCTCAGATTTAAGCCTCCTGGGCAGCTAGTACTATAGGCGTGGGCCATTGGCTCCTGGCTTATGTCTACTTTTTTAAAAGTTAATTTGATTCTTTAATTTTAGCTCAAACTACAATGTAACATATGATTACTCCTTGCTCTAATGGAATTTATTACTACTAAAGATAGTATCCTAGACAAGCAGGAATTTTCTAAAACCACTTAAAAACCTACACACAGAAGCTATTTATAAGCCAAATGTTCCTATCTGAAACATTCCACTTTTATACAACATAAACCCACGTGGTCAGAATTTAAGATGTGAAGATATGTCTTCTCATCAGGTACTGCAAACCTGTGGTCCTTGACATTGACTGTGGACAATGCCAATCCATACACTTTTGTTACCTATCTGACAGGACAGAAAATTAGCATTCAAAAATTTAATTGCAATCTGAAAGAATCCTTTTGTGTCTGTTGAATTTAATAGCATTTTAAATGCTTGTTTTTACATGTCCTTTTTCATGTCATTTTTCCAATTATTAATTTCATATGTTACAATATCTCTGCAACAGATTAAAAATTTTAACCCAATAAACAAAAATCAAAAACCTTGGTTCATAGGTTAGATACTTTGAGTTCAATGAGTCTTTATATTGAAAACCTAGCTCAACTACAACAACAGTGGAGGTGAAGAGGAAGTAACTAACTGGTAAGTTAGGTATATTAAGAGGTAGAGCATACAGGAATCAATGCTCTCTTAGGCCAAATGGACCATAAGAGCCAAGAAGCAAGAGATGGCAGGAAATACATGTTAATCCCTTCATACAGTCTGGTTTGAAAAACTGGAAGAAGCAAAGTCATTCATTGAAAGTGAAAATATAAGTTTTCTTATATTATCTTTCTCCTCTCTCTCTCTCTCTCAAGAATGGGTTTCTGAAATGGCATTCTGAATGGGGTATAATATATTTAATATACTGAACAGGTATCTGTGTAGAAGTATTTCATTAATAGCATAGTGCAAAGCTGAATACCTGATTTTAGATGAATGTTTAAGTCCTGACTTTTCTATTAACTACTTTCAAACAGGTTACCTGTTAACTTCAATTTCTTCATGTATAAATGTGGGCAATCTTACAAATTTGTAGGATTGTCATAAGGGTGACATATGGGCCAGGGCCCAGAAGAGGGATATTGGAAGATGAATAACCTGTGTTTACTATCTTAAACCATGAATGGGAGAAAAGAGTCAAGGGGCATCTGCACTTTAAGAAGGGCACAAAAAAGAAGGGTGACAAAGGAGACTAAGAAATAATGGACTGCCTAGAAATAGGAAAATCATGAGCATCCCAGAAACCAAAGGTAAACTTTCATAAGGAAGTACCTGACATTAAATTACTTACAAAGGTCAGTAAAGTGAGGCCTAGAGAAGTGCCTGTGTTTAGCAACCAAGGAATCAGTGATTCTTCTATCAGGTATGTTCAGTGGAACCAGGGGACTGGGATCCAGATTCTAATTTTCCAAAGAAGAAACGACTAAGGGAAATCATAGGACTAAACTAAAAGTATAACATGCAGAAAAATTAAATCCTTTTTTTGTTTGCTTTAACATGGAAACAAATTAAGTACATGTGTTTATAGTAAAAAGTAAAGAAAGCTAAAAATGTAGATGTAGGCATATAAGAGAGGGGAAATGGAAT